AGAAACTTATAGGGTAAATAAAAACCTGTAGGTTCACCTTTAAAAAAACTTTTTTAAAGTCTTTCATTATTACTGAATGAACATCGACACAACATTTCTATGTTCATATTCGAATTTTGATCATCACTTATAGTTTCTAGCTCTTGTGAAATACTTTCAAGCAAATATATTCATCAAAAATGTCGATCCATAAGAATTCCATTCAAACTAATTTTCTATTAATTTTTCAAAGATTATTTCACTATTCTTGAGCAAAACCTAAGACAAAATTTCTAAGCTCATATTCAAAAAACTCTTAGCTTTCGAGTCAAAAATCACCAAATATCTTATCCAAAAAAAAAACTTTCCGATCACTTGATATACATACGAAATAACAGCCATTGATGCTAATCGTCTTGGGTTTGTTAACAAATGACTTGGATTTGGTGATGAATTTGTTGCAACATTAGTTGTTGTTGTTCCTCCACCTGTAAGTGTTGTTGTTAATATACTTGAACGACGTGGTAATGTATTATTCATCATTGATATTTGTGCAAGTGACATATTTTGTTGAGTTAATAATGTATTTGTATTTAATGTTTGATGATTATTTCCTTGTAATAATTGACTTTCATTTAATGTTGGTAATGTCATATTCGTTGCTTGATGACGATCCTTTTATCAATAAAAATAAATAAATAAATAAAAACTAAACATTTTTCTTTGTTAGTTTTATTGAAAACTTACTTCATCAGTACATTTTCGTAATAACCACAAACTATGTACTCGATCAATTTCATCAAAACGTAATATAAGTTGTTCATCACTAGCTAAACCTGCTGTTGTATAAACATGTTTATCAAAACTATAAAACCATTCACCATGATGTCTTGATATAACAGGTTTAACTTCATCAAGTGGATGTGATAGAGAAAATAAATTTGGTAAATAATGATCATTTCTAGACAAAAATAAAAAGATTCAACAAAAAAGAAAAATTTTATTAAATAAAATATTTACGATTGTCGTTCAATCATTAGACCATTTCGAAATGGCCAAACTTTTGATACCTTTTGAAAAACAAAAAGAAAATTTTATAAAATTTGATGTTTTGATTTTGATTTTTTTTTTGAAAATATATATACAGAAAATGGTAGAGCAACTTTTGTATATCCACTATCCATGCCAATAACAGTTAAACAATTATGTTCCATTACAATTGGAAATTCTGTTCCACCATGTTCACCTTATATTAGAAAACAACAAAAAATAATGAAAAAAAAAACAAGAGATTTTTTATTTTTTTTAATTTACAAGACATGGAACATTGATCAAATTTTGTCCATAGAAGCTAAACAAAGAAGAAATCAAGTTACACCTCTTTCTTTTTTATCTTCGAAATTGTTTTTTGTTTTTTACTTTTTTTGGTATAGTATCAGTTATAAATTCCATATAAGATGGACATTGAATATTCTGAAGGGGATATGTCCAAATAATATGTGAACCTCGAGCATAAATTTCTTCATCACCTTGTCGATTACTTGTTGCACTTATTGACCATAATTCCTTTTAAGAAACAAACAAAAGTAGATTTTTTTTGTGCATTATTAAAATCTATTATATTAACTTGTTCAGTATTTATAGTTGTATCTTCATCAATATAATTTGCACCATTAGGTTTAAACGGAGCGACTTTACTAACACTAATTGTAGCTAAATAAAATTAAAATATTATTATTTTTAATTTTAAATTAGTATAAAGATAAAAATTGTACCTGCTGGTTGCATAGCTCGATTAGTTCGAAATAATTTTGGATGAAATATAAATGTTCATCTAGAAAAAAGAACGAAGACAGTTCGTTGTTTCGCATCATTTTAAGATTGGTTATGGTATTAACCAATAATATAGAAAAAGTTATTTTTTTGTCTGTTGATATTGAAAACATTTGAATTAATTATTTGAATATAGAAGTATAGAATAAATATTTAGAATCATTTGATATAAAGTTCATGATTGATTTTTCTAGATGGTGTAACTGAAATTAGGCGATATCTGATCATGCAAAAGCACGAATGTTCGAAGCGAGGCAATGAGCCTCGGATCTTGAAAAACTTTTTGTTTCTCTTAATCAGAGTATCAGCACTTTATCAGTTTTTTTTGTTGATGAAGTCCCAAAATACGTTCAAACTCTCACAAGTTCGATCAACTTTAACAATTTTCTAATTGACTGAGTTCCTTCCAAATCATGACGATCGTGAAAAATCTCTGTACAGAAGTCTCAATTGAAATATAAATCGACTGAATACATCGTTTTTCTGAAGAGTATGACGAGTGACAGATTGTTGTTTTCATCTATTCATTTTGTTTACGTACGATCGGTAAGTACGTTAACTCTTTACCCCCCATAGCGATTCCAGTAGAGCCACTGACAAAATAACTTTATAAATAGAGTGTTAACCTGTCGAATATGCCAATGGTGTGGTCTAATTCACCGAATGTCCTGTTCCTGAAGTAGGGCGGTTTGATTGATCTAAAAATTATGTGGTGGAAAAAGAGAACTGAATAACATCATAAGACTTCATGTTTGCCTTTGACCGCATTATTGCCGAGGCAGAAGCAACATCTATCTCGTACTGTTGAAGAGATAGAAAAAATGCACCGAGTGAACTGATAAAAATTAACATCGAATAATACATTATGTTTTTACACCTGTTGCCAAATTTAAGCCTATTTCATTCTGAACTATTTTATAACGTCTGAAAGAATTTAATTCATCATAAATACTATTTCGTTTCCTCATGAGTTAAGGATTCTAACGCATATATTAAGTTTGTTGTTGACTACCCTCCATCTGTCTAAATATGCATAATTCACGGAGTTATCATGAAGCTTTCGAAACATCTAATTCAGCAGTGGACTTCTTCATTGATTAATATCACACAGAAATTTCAAAAGACTTCTATCGACTACAGATAGCAAACATTTTGTTTAAAAACTAATAGAATTTTTGCATTTTTTTTTTCAAAATTATCGATTTTGTAAGTCGCATATCTTGAAAGCAGAGCAATAAAATAGAATATCTTTTTACCAATCGATAACTTATGGAATTCTCTACCAATAATGTCTTTGAAGTTTTTGCAGTCTCATACTTTCTTTATTTTCTGTGATCGTTCCACAAATGTGTCAAAACTGACCCAATGGGGGGTAAATGGTTAAATAATGATATGTGAATCTCAATTCAACAACAAGAACGTTGAACAGTTAATATTGCAAATATGAATTGTTCTATAAATAGATCTTTAACCTTTTAACTGACGACATGAAGGAAAGAAAAAATTTTTACAGAAAATCATCATAGTTGTTTATTTTCGATCTAGTTTTTCATATTTATAAAAGATAACGTTAAATCCTTTGTAAGGTATGGAAATCTTTGAAACAGTCGGTGATGCACAGACCAACATCGCATTCGGTACATTGGTAGCGAGTATCACGTCGTTCCTTAGCACGTTGTTCAGTATTGCTGCAAACATAACATCTTCTTTGAGGAGTCTGTTTGCTTTCATTTGGAGGAATTAAAGACGGAAAATGTCTGGTTGTCAATCGTAGTGGATGAGTACTCAATGGTTTGCCAATATGTGACCTCTTAGAGCCGTACTTTGAGATGAGGTCTCGAATAATGTCTAAAAGAACAGAAGGCAAGAAAATACACTGAAGTAACCCCAATGTATAAAAAAACGAGAAAGATATGGCTTGTGTGCTTCTCATGCATTATAAAGAAAAGAAGCAAGAGAACAAAAGACAACCATATGTACACCACACTGACTGTTCTCTATGCACACTCTTTTTTCTAAGACATAATTCTAGAGCATGCCATTATGAAACGATGGTATCACACGCTTCAGCTATTTGATGCTTATCTCTATGCGAACGAATATAAAAAAATATGTATTACGATTGATTGTGCTAGTTTTGTACACTAATAAAGTTCATGACGTATATATACGTCGGCGTCAGTTAAAGGGTTAATTATACCCAAAACTAAAATCATAGATTATACCATTTCAAATACTATTCTAATCTCAGTCATGTCATTAGTTTTTTTACATTACATTTCATTGTCTATATTTATACATTGGTCTATTTAACGCAAAGTTTTTAATAGAATTCTAATGATAATCAAATATTATTTATATTAAAATACAGCATAAAATACAGAAAGAATTTATTACTCTGTTATACCTTGAGGAAAAAAAACGACTCTTAGTCATGGGTTCTTGCTTCGACTCCCAGCTATATTTCGAACACTAGCATAGAAAAACCGACAAAAATAATAGAAAAAATTTGAAAAAACTTTCCATTTCCATTTTCTCGTTAATCAATATATTGTTCTGTTGTAGAATAGCAATAGACTATACGTTCCGATCTCTCTAATGATTAGATGTATGAAAACGTTCAGCTCTATGGACCAGTTTTTTTTTCACATGAACTCAGCTATCGAATATCGGATCTTCTTCTCACCATAAATTTCCAACAACTCTATTCTGTCATACTTATATGGCTTAGTTTCATGGTTCGAAAGGGATAAAATGAGATTTTTTTAGAGACAGTACTTGATCGCGAATCACTGATCTCGAAATATATTAACACTACGAATTATATTTATAGTAATCTGTCATCGATTGATTTCATGAAAGACTTTAAATATTAATTTTGTTATAAGAATATCTTATTCTCTAATAAAGAAGAAAAATAGCATTTTCAATAAAATTCATAAGTATTTTTTTAAATTAAAGAATTACAAATGATTTAGACTTGCTATTTAATTAGTAGTAAAAATTTCAACCGTATACAAAAATTCATAAACAAAAAAAAATAATAAAATTAATTCATTGGCGTATTTTACTGTAAAGATTTTATTTTTCATGTTTCAAAATATATTTTACAAAAAAAAAAACATCAGTCAACCTAAATGCTGGTATTAAATAAGTATATACAATAAAAAATTGTTCGAATTTAATCATTAATCATATTTAAAATCATCAGGCTTATCATTATAATAAGGTGCCGATGGTTTTATTGTTTGATTATTATTACGATTTCGTCGTTTATCAATATGATCACAAAATTTAATAATACGTTTTGTAAGAAGTCTTTCAATAAGTGTCATAAATGGTTTAGCAATAAATGAAAATATTCCTAATTTTCTATAAATAAGTCGACGTGTATAAAAACTTAAACCTGTATTAATAATTCCATCAATAGCTACATTACGTGATGGAAGTAAATGTGGATTTTCTAAAAAAACAACAAAACAAAAGAATTCTTTGCAATAATAATAAAAGATCTTCTTTTAATTTTCATTACCTTTATAAAATCTTATATCACGTTGACTCATTGAATATAATTGACTTATACTTGTAATTACAGTTGTTATATCACTTGTAAAAATTTTTATTAAATGAAGAATTCCAGCAAGTATACCAACAATAATTGCTAATGGTATACCAACAGTAACAAAATGTATTAAACGTTGTGGAAATGATCGTTTTGGTCGTTGATGTTGAGCTTCTGGTGGTGGTGATGTTATTGATGTATCAGAATTTAAATGTAATAGAATATTTGAAAATGTAATTGTTTCATTTTCAACTAATAATGATCGAGCAGCTATTTTTAATGCTGGACGAACTAATGAAAAGAATGCAAATTTAACACTTGATAAATGATCAAGTGCAGCAACTAATGGTTCTTGACAATAAGCTGAAACATCAAATTTATCACCAATCATTCGTGCATAAGGTGGAAAACTTCCTACAGCAAAAAGAAAACAATAAAGAAATTTTAATAATTAGTTTTAGTTCTTTGTCTTTTTTTGAATAATTTAGTTTTATTATTTTACCTGTAGTCATGTTCGCCAACGATTATGTAAAATCGAAAACAATTATTTGGTTATATCAATATATATATGTTGCTCACTCGATTGAGTTCAAATTACTGTTCGCTAAGGGCTATATAAAAAGTCAAGACACAGTAGCGGCCTCTATTGATTATAGGTAACAAGAAAAAAATAGAAGTATTTTACGTAGTATGCTATATCTTCTCGAATAATAGATGAATCATTATTGATATATTGATTACAATAAAAAACAAGCCGAGTCCATCATTTCTTTGACATGATATTACTCATATGAACGTCTTTGTTTGTTTACAAATTTTCAAATGATATTTTTTTGAAAACTATTTTTACCATTTCAGAAAAGCGATTTATTTTTACAAATATTTCTTGTGAATAAAAAAATAATATTATCAGATTGGTCTAAACATCACACAAGAACATTCTTTTTTATTTTTCTTATATTTAAAATTAAACACAAAAAAGAAAATAAATTAGAAATTCATAAGAAGTTGTTAATTTTATTACTATAGATATTTATTATATATAGCATTCATGAATAAATCACATAAGCATTCTATTTGATTACTGGAATATTATGTACTCTAGGCATGAACATAATTTTCATATATTTTCAATGCAGTTAAATATGCGATTTGAAATGTTCAAATATTGATAATTAATAAATGTAAAACAAAAAAAAAAGATATTCGAATTGATGTGTTAAAATTTTAAGTAAGAGTTAACACAATAAAAATATTTTGAACTTTTGCTGCGTTAATAATGAAAAAATACTTAAGATTTGTTGCATGTCATGACTTTGACAGCATGACAGTCTAAGTAAAAGAACTTTTTCATCAGATTTTCTTCTAGAACTAAGAACCCTTTAGAAAAAATTTATATGCGCACATGCGATGATTAAAAAAGTTCTCAAGGATATTGAACGTTCATTTAATGATATCTCTAATTCTAATATTCAAGAATAATAACTTTAATGATCAAAACGACGGACTTAATTTTAAATATATATTTATTAGGTGTTCTTGTCCTACGTTTGTAATTGTTATTTCACTTGTTTAATTAACTTTGTATAACGCTTAATCATATCTATTAAATCTAATTAATTATATACTAATAAACCTTTAGATAAGAGAATTAAACTCGCTATATGATTTTTTTTTCTATTTTATTTATAGTTGATAAGCTTGAGAACATATGATGTTTGAACAAAGAAAAAAAAGCAGAAATATAATATTATTGTGCATGACATAAATAGGTGCATTTCTCTTTTATTTGCAATCATCTATTTACTATTCTATAATTCTAAAAAGAAGTAAGGTTTTGAATTATGCGTAAATTCTCTTCGTCGGAATGTTGGTTAGAATCAAATGTTCATCCGATTGCATTATTTACGGATAGAATTTCCAAAAAAAATCATGTCTTTAGTTAGACTTTGATCTTTTAAGCATAAACAACAGTTCTTAACTTTGCACTTGTGATATTTTTTTTCTTGCTGAGTAGTTTTATTTGTATTAGATAATTGATTTGAAATCAAGATGAAATAATAATTAATTAAAATATTGAATAAAATGATTAAAATTTAATTTATAAACATGAGTTTAAAACATGTTATATTTTTATTATGGCATAAAATGAACGTCAAATCTTAATTCATATATGCATTTAAACAAAAAAAAACAAAAAAAAATAGTCTATTGAAAGACGGAAACAAACGTTTTGTTTAGTTACGGTCAATCTAATCTCTATATATTGTCTTGCATGTAACTATAACAACAACATCACTTTTTTTCTATTCTATAACTTATTCTCTCGTCAAATCAAAAATTCTTTTATATAATATCAAGCAACGATAATGAATACGCCAACTCTTTCTTCTTCTTTTCCCTCTTTTTTTTTCCATCCGAGGTGTCTCTCAGAGAAAATTAAGAAAAAGAAATAAATGGAACGAGAGAGAGAGAAAAAAAGAAGAAGACAAGACGTATTACTATAAAGATCTTCATTGGTGTTTCATTAATAAAAATATTGTCAAGCTAGTGTCATGGCAGCATTGACTTCGAAAGAACTAAATCAACTTTCTGAAGAAACTGGTTTAAGTAAATCATCAATACAAGATTGGCATAAACGCTTTATACAAGAATGTCCAACGGGTAATATATCAAAAGAACGTTACATTAATTTATATCGTTCATATTATCCTCGTGCGCGCAATTCGGATACATATGCTCAAATGTTATTTACTGCATTTGATGATGATCGTGATCAAGCATTAAATTTTCGTGAATTTCTTCGTGTTGTATCCGTTAGTCAAGGTACAGATGAAAAGGCTAAACTTGAACTTGCTTATAAAGCATATAATCGTAATCAATCAGATGCTAATTTAACACGTAAAGAAATTCAAAATGCTGTAATGGCTATATTAAATTTGGTTGAAAATCAAGATGAAACAGATGAAAATAATGATACAGATAAACGTCAAATAACAATTGATTGGGTTATGAAACGTTTAGGTTATGATGAAAAAAATGATATAACTAAAAAAGAATTTATTCGACGTTGTAAAGGTGATCCAAATCTATATGAATTTTTGGCATTTCATTGTGTACCAAAACCAAATTGTCCTGATGGAGATCTACGTGGAAAAGAAAAATATAAAATAGCTGTTAAAACTGGTACTGAAGGAAAAAGATTAGTTTTATTAAAGGCATCAGGTACAGATGCAAACGTTTATTTAATAATACATGGTGAAAAAGCCAGTTCTGATTCCATACAATTACAAAATTCACAAACACATAAAGATCCATTTGAACATGGACATACAGATGTATTTACACAATTTTTACCAACATTAGGTCAAATTAAAAGTGCAACACTTTGGCATACCGGTGACAAATCTCAAGGTTGGTATGTTGAAAATTTAACGATTACAAATGAAACATTAAATATAATAACTTTTTTTCCTGTACAACGTTGGCTTGATTCTGATGAATATGACAAAATGACAAAGATTGAACTTATTCCAAATCAACCACCGGGATATGCTGAATAGACTAATAAACATTTTCGTTTATAAATTTTAATATATTCGATATATAGAAAACTCTTTTCTATACACGCATATATACATATATATCTATTAATATTTCAAATAAATATTCCTAAAATGAAAAAATATTTTTTTGTGTCTTATTTATCTCATCATGAAAAAGAAAAATATTTATTTTGAAAGGTTATTTGATACGAGTAATAGAAAATAGACTAATAAAAACTGATATGTGAGAGTTGAAAAAGATTTTCTTAATCTACTTTATAAATAGTACTAGACGAACAATGGAATTTTCACAGATAATTCTAAGTTACATTAAAAAATATATTAAATGTTTATTTTGAGAAAAAAAAAAGAAACGAAAAATATTATACTATCTTAAATTTCTAAATATGAAATTCTTTCATAATATATTTTTGTGACGTCAAGAACTTTATCTATGCAAAAATAATTGAAAAATGAAATTTAGATTTTTCGATTTGATGACAAACAAAGTCGCATGTGATCGTCTCAAATATCACCATATCAATATCGCACCGACGTCAAATATATGATTTATTAAAAAATGAAATTACATTCATCAATCATTTTGTTATCAAACCGAATTTTGTTTTTTTATTATTAATAAGGTGAAAGAAGAAGAAAAATATCTAAATTTCGTTGACCTTAGACAAATTCTATTTAATATAAATAAATTCATAATAATTGAATTAAAGACAAAAGAATATATTCAAGTTTATTTTGCTTTAAAAACTAGTGAATTTCTATATTACAGATAAAAATCTACACACAAAAAAGGTCATAATCTATGACTAGAGATAATGTTTTTGTTTTTTTTACGAAACGTCGATCATTCAGTTTTTTTTGTTTTAATATATAAATAAATATAAATATTATGTTCGGTTTGTTGAATATTCTATTCTTCTTGAATTGATGATAATGTTACAGCGCGTTGTCGTACTGAACATGTTTGATGTGATGATGCATAATGACTATGTAGATGATTGCCACCAATTGGTGAAATTTGATAAGCAGATTTGGGTTGAACCTTTTTAATCGATTTTTTCGATGATGATGGTGTTGACTGCTTTTGATTTGGAAAAGAATACATTGGTACAACTGGTTGATTCAAATGCCAAAACATTTTTGATAAAAATTGTGAGAGTCGTTTACCAAAACCATGTTGCTTTTTTGCCATTGTCGTATATCTATGATGAAAAAATACGATATAGCATGTATATATATTACACAGTAGAGACATATGGGTGAGCAATCATACTAGAATGTATATGTTGCTCCCTCGGTCTTACTAATTTCTTTGGTCATGAGGATAAGGAAAAGAAAAATTGCGTATTTTACCTATGAAATTACCTCATTAACGTCCTTCTAATATAAAACAATGTATAGAACAGAAAAGCACGTGAAAAAAAAACGAAATACTGAGTTAGTGTATATTTGATTAACGATTAGATAAGATCTGGGTAATTGCGAATTTTCTACATATTATTTTTTCTTTTCCAATTGTTATATGGTTTGGTTCAACATGTTGGTTTACTTGGTAAAAGTGAATTGCTCCAATTTTCAAAACTAAGCTTTAAAAAAAAAGAAAAACCTAAAAAGTCTTGAACTTTAGACTTTATTGTAGCAGATGTCAATTTCTCATGTACTCATCAGGGTTTCATTTTTTTACTTTCAGCAATTCTGTAAATATGTTTTTCTAGTTCGCGAAGTCAAATCAACTAAAGAAAGCAAATTTTTAACGTTACTTCTTCCCAGTAAATTTTGTTTCGCACATGATAAAAAACATTTACAGAGTTGCACAGAACGAACAAATGAAATATTCAAGGATGGATGAGAAATAGACATCTGTTCTAATGAAATCTAAAATTCGAGATTTTTTTAAAAGTAGATTTGAAAATTGAAGAGACTCACTTTTCTTCAGTAAATCGACGTGTTAAATCGAACAATACAAAAGACAAATGAGAAAAAAAAATTGCCAATGTTTTCAATTAATCACATCTAGTTTTTAAAAAGTTGTTTGTTACTTTCTAATGATAAAAATAGATGAAATCAACATATTATTTGTTCTTCGTACAAAAATTTTACACAAGATAAGTACATCGATAAAACTGACGCTTTCACAACCTACGACAGAATAACTGATAATATGATTCATCTGGGAAGGGTCAAGGGTTTCTTTCTTTTTCTGCTCTTGATCGAACAAAATACTTAAATTTAGTCACATATTTATGTTATTGTTGTTTTTTCTTCTGCACGAGAAGATTATGTCACGAAAGAAGCTGGTAGAAAAAAAGAAAAAAGTGTATTTTTTCAATGCTAGCAAAAGAACGAACGATTCTCTAAAACAAATAATGCTTAGGAGGTGAAAATATTTATATAGTCATATTAGCCCACATAAAATAAAAGCAAAATATCGAACAGATAAGCGTACTATTTAGATGGAAAAAATTGACCTTAGCTTGATTTATAAGTGAAATTATTAATATTTATTAACGCAATAAAAAAAAAGAAAAAACAAAACGAAACAATATTTGAAAAAAAAATTTTTTTTTTCTTGAAATAACAAATATCAACATACTACTTTAACAGTATAGACAATAAATTATGTTTATATACATATTGGGTTTCGAAACTGAATGCTTCGGTTGAATAAACATCCTTTGCATATATTTTTTTGTAACTATTCAATCGTTATATTAAGTACCTGGGAAATATATTGATGTGTTTTTATTCTAGTAAAAAATGTTTATAAACATATGAAAAAGATGCGAATTTTATCAATAAGATATGATGTTAAGTTATACTTGAATATTTTGTAGTAGAATTAATTTATCAAGAATACAATCAATCTTTGTTATTTGATTAATCTTCACAGGATTTCAAATATTGAATTTTATTTTGCGAATTTTTTCTTAATAAAATAATTTAAATTGAGAAATATATTTGCTGGAGTATAAGATGTTTAATTGACAAAAATAAAATAAAATCGATTTTATTATGAAATTTATTGAATGAACGATTCATTTAAAAAATGACAAGAATTCAGTTCAATTAATGGCTAATTTTAGTTACATTAGTCAGATGAGATACATTGAAATAAGTATTTATATTTCGATTATAATAAGATATTCGAAACTAGTTATTGATTATAAATGCATAAAATCAATTTGAATTTTTCAATCAGCTGCTTTCCTATTTATTTGTTTACTTGTTTTTGCCCGTTCAGGTTAATATACACTCTAATTGGGGACAAAGTATCAAGGTAAAGAAGCATGTGATACATCATTCGTCTTCTGCTTTTAAAATTTGCCTTCGATAAGAATAAAATACGTATAATATATCTATTATCTCTCCGAATGTTGTTCATACTCATAATAATATCAGTTCATAGTAATTCGAATTAATCATTTGTCGAATGATTTCGATAAAACTTTTTTTTTTCTATCTATAATTAAAAATGACCTATTTTTTTATCAATAGGTTAATATTTACTTAAAGGTTTGTAAATGACCAAAGATTGATATAATACTATTTTTAACATGAAAAAACGAGAAAAAATTCGTTGTTATAGTATCTGTCGTTCTTGTTGATAGTAATGAAGTAAAATGATTAACTTCATTAAATGTAAAACATGAGTAGCAATATAATCTTATCATTGTTTATTCAAAACTACGTGCTTGGAATTTCTTTGAAACACTTAAGTTTGACGAATAATAGGAAGAATGAATCATTTTTATTTTTCATCTAAAAGAAATTTCCTTTTGACAGTCTTATTCTAGTATATTCTATAACATAAATTGAAATGTTTTTCAATTAAGATATTTTCATTAAGTTTTATTTATCTTTTATTGATCTACTTCAATCAACTTCAGAAAATTAAAATCTATTAATCTTGCAATTTTCTCATCAGCTTTACTTAAAACATATTCGAGAGAGGTTATTCTGATCGTATATTAAAAGTATATTGTCCTATGTTGATTCTTCATTTTATTGTAACTATTGAATAATTACAATCTAAATCAAATCAAAGTATAAAAAAAACTTCAAATTAATAATATACATGAACAAATACACTAATCTTAAAATATGTTATTCATGTATAACAACTCTTTTGATTTATGATTCGTTTATTTAAACGAAATAATTACATACATTGATTAACAATCAACAATAATTACAAGTGAATTTTCTCTTGCTTTTTACTTTCATTTAAAAATATTTGGTTATATAATTATATTTAAAAATGAAAATGTAACAAAACAAAAAGAAAATTTTCTTATTGAGTAAAACAACTTTTTTTTCAGTGAGTTTAGATTAAAAATTCACAAATTTGACGTTCCCATCATACCATAAGAGTAATTCAATATAAAAAGTTGTTACCGCGATCCCTACAGGAATAAAATGTGAAACACGATATAACTGCTGTTTTTAGTTACAGAGAGATAGTTTTATATTATCGATTTTGGGATACATTTCTTCACCATTATGTTATTTAATCCTCAAAAAATACAATAAGAAAATAGTTCATATATTATAAGCAACTATTATATCGGCATATAGTTTTTGATTATATATCAACAACGTCTATCACGGCCTGCAAACAATCTGTAGGGAAGGGGAAGGTAAATTTTTACTTCTACACTTCATTTTTATATGATACAATCGCATAAACACTCACCATAATAATAAAAAAGACCAATGGTGATACTATCATCGAAAGAAAAGCGATTGTAAATCATTATTATTTTAAATAATGTAATACACATTAACTTAGATCAAATTCAAAGAAAATTGGTTTTATATTATAAGTATAACTGTCAATAAATAAAAATACGAACAAAATCTAGAGAATGACAGACACGAATGATTTATTCAATAACCATGAAATCATGGTCTTTTGTCATTGAGATAAGCAAATAATCAATATAATATCCTAATACGCATATACTAATACATACCAAATGCTTCTTGATTGCGTTCTTTACTGAAAATTGGTACTACACATACATATTCATAGAGTCTCTATACAACAGTTATTTACATTAATGTCTTGAATAAACATACAATAAACGATAGAAATCGTAGTTGGTATTAAACTTGAACAAATAGATAAAAATATTCTTGTTAAGTAATTTATTTAAAGAAAAAAAATTTGAATTATTTTTTTTTTGTATTTTAGTAATCAAGAAATAGAGACAGAAAATACTCTAACTGCTAAAAAGAAATGACAAATATGAGAGAATCTATTGGTTATTCGTATAGCATGAATATTTTTATTTACTGCTTTCCAAGATATTTTTTAATTATCAATGAATTTATTATTGAAATAAAAGGTATTAAATTAAGATAGGTCTGTCAAATCTATAATCAAGTTTAAATCTCAAACATGATGTTGGTATGAATTCCATGGCTTCAATCTATGTATTTTTTTTAATACTTTCTTCAGTATTATTACCTCATACAACGGTAAGTTTAATGATCATACGAATAAATGTTGCAAAATTCTTTTTATTAGATAAGTATCTATGATATGCATTGGACAATTGTAATATGTCAATTCGGTTATCTTGTATTCTACTACTGCAAATTTGTATGATAAACCAGGATTAATGTGTACAACATCAATCTTCATAGATCTTGTTGGTACATCGTTATGAAAATATTTATCTAACACAAATTTGAATTCTTAATACAAAGTCAAAACAGAAAACAAATCTGAAATCGGGCTAACGTAGTTTTTACTTGTTTTCTAAGCAGTTAGTTAAGAAATTTAATAAAATAAATCTTTTTATTGTTTTGTTTTTTTAATTCGTTAAAGGCAAACTTGAGAAAATCGAATTAGTTATGTAACTTTACAATCAACTACTAAATTGATAGTTATATATTCATGAAATTATCACCGAATGCATTATTTCATAACATAATTGTTGTTTAAGACTTTTAACTTATATTTATATTATTCTTGCAATTACAAAGTATTATTCTTGTTGTTATTTTATTTGATCAACGAGGAAGTACATGTGAATGAAAAGGTCACTTCTAATTAAAAATCTATTATAGATAAGGGGGCAAAAATAATTTAATGACAACATATATCTGATTTTATTTTCCTTCACGATAGGCAATTAGATCAAATCTAGAAAATGATTTTAATAGGTAAAGGAGATTTCGATCTAATGTATTGTAAACAACATGAGAAGCCACCGTAGTTTCTAGGACATTCTCTTAAAAGTATCAGAAAAATCGTAAAAAAACAAAATATATCAAGAAATTGCTAAAATACATTACTATCGGTTTTGTGATACTTTTAACTTTTTAAGAGAAGGTCGTAGAAATTGCAATAATTCCTCATTTTTTCTTTTTAAAATAAAGATTGTTGAAAATTAACTCTCACAAAGTTTTTTGGAACCTCAAAATTATTGTGCCTGTTTTCTAGAAACCTTATCATCATATTCATCTATGAAATCTTGTAATAGAAAGTGGCTATGAGTTTAGAAAAGACCCACATCCACAGATAAAAGAGTTATATAGTCAATCTTTCTTCATTATACATGGTTTGGAATTACCTGCAGCAAGTAATAATAATATTATGGCAGATGAAGAGGAAGACAATCAACGAATACGAGAGTTTGATGACAAAATGATTGACGATGGACGATAAAGATAAAGACGAAAATATGAGTTTGTAATAAAAAATTTACTGACATAAAACTCTTAAATAAAATTTGCCCAGATCTTAAAGATTTATACTGCAAAATTGAAATTAATAAGAATGGTCGATATTTACATACACAATTAGCATATTGGTTGTTATATGATACACAGAGTCGTTTATCAAGCAATCATCTTTCTTATGTCATTGAAACAAGCAGAAAGTATTAACATTGATATTGCTTATTTTCTTATGGTTTTCTTTATTTTTGATTTTTAATAAATATCTTAAGCTAACAAAAATTATCTTATCTTCCTGTGAAATATTATACTTCTCCGTACTTCTTCACTCTTCAGAAGTAAAGAAGTATGCCTTTTTCCCCTTGCATTTTCTTCTTTTAAGAGATTGATAACGTCTACGGTTGGTATGAAATATGTGGGCTTTCGGAAGATGTAAATATATACAAAAAATTTGCTTTTACACATGAGAGAATTTTAAATATATTGAATATCTCAAGATAGAAAAGAAAAGAAAAGAACAAAAAAGATATATATTAGATATATGTTACGTGTCATCTATGTGCAACAGCAGAACAGACGAAAGAAAGAAAAGGAAAATATCATATACAAGTGATTCATACTGTAACACCCCAGTTTTTTGTTAAAACAAAAACAGTAAAATTTTGATATCTCAAGGACAGAGGCCCAATTAGACCAAACTATTCTAGATTTTTCTATTACTCATTGATATTCATCAAATGAATATTTTCTCAGTCAGAAGACGATTTAACACTTGAATTGGTTTTCTCGTCAGTCATTCTCTGGGTCAACTACTATAATAGACCTTCATAATTTGGAATTATTGGTTAAAACAAACGAAACAATATTATGTACATGACTAAGTACATTAAAAACAACATTAGAAATCTTCCGCGTTAGTCATATGATAAAGAGATACAAAAAAAGATTGATATTGATTAGTTATATACTAACAAAATATAGACACGTTTCAAATGATATGATATAACTTCCTAATTCAAATAAATACGTGATCATTGAATAATATGAGAAATCGTTGAGTCGTGACCAATGTAAACTCGATTCATCGATTTTTATATTAGTCATCTTGTCTCTTAACTATAAGTACACCTATATTATTGTACAGCCAGACACCGATGAATCATCCAATCAATAACAAAGCCTACACTTTTTCCGACATGATTTTAAGACAGTTTTTTCTAAGTGAATATTAAAAAGTTGTTTGATTTAAAACAAAACACATTATGATAGTACTCGTTTGTTGGGAAAGTATTTTTAGTTCTAGAACACTTTTTCAAGAAAAACTGAGAACATAGTTCGATAGACAATATTTTTTTCTATTGAATCATATAAAAATGACTTCAAGCCCATAATAAAAATACATAGTGCATTTTTTGCTATTAATTCATTGTTCTTTGCTTGATCAGACTGTGTACTATTACTTTAATTCTATTGATAAATTAATAGAAGATTATGTGTGCTGGAATATTTTTCACTAGCTACTAATTTTATTATATCGGATGTTGCGTCAAAAGAAAATATATTGAATTATATAAAAAAAGAAAAAAAAACTTCATTACGACCAAAAGATTTTAATTTTTTTATCAATCTTATTTCCACAAATATGACAATAGTTCAGTGTTTGAGAACATTGAAAACATGTGAGATGTCCACAAAGAAATGCTATGTCGTTGAATCTTTCCATACAAATAGGACACGTTTGTTTATCTTCAAGTATTTCGATATTGTTTTCCAATTCTTTAATTTTATCATTATCGTTCGATGTAATTACAATAAAATGAGCTTCTTGTTCTGAATTTTGAATTGACAATTCATTGTCGTCTATAAAAAAAAAAATAAAAAAATAAAAATTTAGCATTGAATTTTTATAATGTTAATAATTTCAAAATTTTCTTACCCTGTCCTAGTAAAATATTACGCCAACAATCATGATTAATCGTACAACATAATTTAGCAAATTCACTAAAACCTTTAATAAAAATTTTTTGTAAAAATTGAGCATTTATATCCCATGTATTAAGTAGAAGAAGAGCATTTTGTACAATTTCTTTAGCTGGTCTTCTCTTCTCAATATAACTAGTTCCAGATAATTTGATTCGATGTAAACGACTATCACCTTGATCATATAGTACTCGTCTCAAAACTCCTTTTCCCTTAAAGTCATTTAATGTTACCAAATCAAACTTATTGAATTTATTCAACATGACAACATATATTTCTGGTGCATCGTCATCAAGTTGAACAGCAATGCCTTGTAATAATTTTAGTTTTCGCCATTGATACAAATGATCACCAGGACGAACATCAGATACAGAAATATTATGCAAAAGCATTATGTTAAAATATCAGCTTCCGTTTTTTTTTTCTTTAATTACTTGGCTTATGAAAATGATGATTTATATCGTTTTCTTTGTCATGCTTTTCATCTAAAGGTTGGGCTTTTGTTCGTCACAAACTGGGTTAAAAAGTGACAAAATATTAAATAGAGGAAGAACAAAGTCGTTTTGTATAAATAGTAACTAGCAATATACTTCAGCTAACAACGCAACATCATGTCTACACTCAACATAATCGCTTTTTTTCAATTTATTGGTTAGAACGTTGAATTAGGAGTAATATTTGAATGATACTTTTCCATCGCAAGAACTAATTTTCCTAGAAAAGATCTGTTTTATGAGATTAAATGCTAGGTAGAAGATATCAACGCAGTTATAACCAGTTTTCTTCCATACTTGCAATACTTGTGGAATTGATGAGATTTTTATATTTATTATTACTGAATTCGAATAATAGCAGTAGTATGATAAAAAAATGTCATAGATGTTTGTAGACGAACTGCATGACTCTTTACACGAATTGTTTATTGTTGCCATGTGCTGCTATGTTAACTTGTTCACATTAATGGTGGTCAAATCATATGATGAAGACGAGATAAATTTTTTGTTAAAAGTCTTTTTCTGAATTTTATCTTTTCCAACTCGAAACATACATATATATTGATCGTTATTGCGAATGGTTTAATGGAAAAATTTCGAAAGAAAAACATCGAACATGAAAAAAGTGGAATTAGTAATTAGTAAGAGTCCGGTCGAACAGTCCCTAATTGGGAGAGATCATCAGCGTAAAGTGATTAAAACATTCCTGTTTTGACTGTGTGTGTGGCTAAAAGACTATTAGCGTTACTCTCAAACCTACACCAGCATCCTTCGAGAGTGTATCAATTAAACTTTGATTATATTTAATTTCTCTTTTCGACATTTTTTTCTTTTTGTGCTTCTTTCATCCATTCGATTGAATAAACTAATGAGGAAACGTTTCTAAGTGCCAAATCGCTTTTGAGTTTGAACTATGAATACCTTGGGAAGAGTTCGAACTAATAGTGTATTTTATCATATTTTTTAATAGAATACTGCAGTTTCTGTCAGAAACACCAGAGAAATTCAATTTTGATTTTCCACTTGAACCTTTGCATACAGATAGACCTTAACTAAAATAGCTGATTGTGAAGGTTTCAGATTTTGCGATAGCACCTATTCTTAAATAAGAACATCGGACTTTATCGTTGTATATGAGCAGCGTGAAAAATATGCTTTTACCATAGCCGTATCTGAAGATAGAACTAATCAAAAGATCTAAAATCTTTACAATAAACTATTTTCATCACGACCTGTCTCTGTGAAAAGTCTCAAGTTGAAATTGTCTGCTCAGTTTTTCTGATGTTCCTGGTAAAAATGCAATGTGTCTCATGGTTAATTGACTGTCAGTAAGAACTCGTCTCCGAGTATTCATAGTTCATTAGAACCTGCATGATGTACAGAGTTCTAACAGAAAATCGTTCGTTATATTATTTTTTAACTATGTTTCTTGGTCATCAGATAATCGAAGCTAAAAAAGAAAAAAAAACATTCGTTAAAACACGGCGAATCTTACTGGTTTTTATATTATCATGTAAATTCATCTATTGTATTCCTCAAGTTACTCTTATGAAAATAATCAAGTTTAAATATCATTGTACATAACTCATATATTCAACTATCTCAAGTTTCTTTTCAATTAAAATAATCACAATGTTCTTATCTATTTATTTTCATTTATTTTTAAATGAAATATGAGAAAAAAAAATAGCAATCACATACATTCATCATAAGTTACATTCATAGAAATCATCATGAATTCGACAGCAGGAGTAAGTTCTAATGAAAAATTTAGAACTATTTTTATGCTCTATTTTTTATTGTCATATAGAAATCTTACTATATTGCGTATAATTCAATCGATCCATTTAATTCGATAATTTTTTTTTATAATTATTTTTGTACATGGTCAATTGGAATAATATTCTCTTTAATACTTCCAATATTATTTGTCTTTGCTCCATCATCACTTCATACCACTCGCACATCTCATTTTTTTATTATTTGTCTTGTTTGTTTAACAAATATATTTTTTCTTTATATTCAAGCATATATGTTAAGTGGTTCAGGTGAACCAAATTTATCATTTCATACATGTCGTTTTCTTGTTTATATATCAACATTAGCTAAACCAATAGAACTTTATTTAACATTATTATTTAGTATTGAAAGAATATGTACAAAAAATTTATTAAATTGTATATCATCAACGAATAATTATCGATTATATTTTAAAAGATTTTATTTATTATTAATTCTTATTGGTATGAGTTTTATTTTTTCGATAAGATTATATGAAATATTAAAATTTATTAAAAAAAATCCATCTATATCAAATAGTAATATTATTTCACAAAAAAATAAGATCGTTAATAATAATCAAACAGATCCAATTAATTTTCGATATTGTTATAGTTCATTAAATGTTGAAATCTATGCAAAAATTTTATCATTTTATACAATACAATATTGGCTTGAATATGGTATATTAATAATAATTAGTCTTATTTTATTATCTCTTATTATATATCAATATTGTTTACCTTTTTTACAACAACGTTCATCATCTCGTTTAAGTGTTAATACAAAATTTTATTTATCACTTTCATCATATGTTATTTTATTTGAATGTGTTTTACTATGTTTACATTTTATTATTAGTAATGCTGACAATAATAAGCATACTAAAGTTAATTCCTTACAACTAATGTTATTTGTATACAATATACGTTGTATTTTATTAACGTTTATTATTTGTTTAACAACTTGTAATCCATTAAAACAATGGATTTATGAACTGATTATTTTACGTCCATATTTAGATAATTTCGATGAAAATGATCAAACAAAAACAATCATTGATCAATCAGAATCATTGTCATCTTCTCAACATCACATCATTTCTTAAAATAATAACCCTATGTGAACATTTTTTTTCTTTTTGATTTAATTCACATGTCTAATTTTTGAACAGATGCAATAGATGAACTTTCTTTCATTTGTTAATTCATTATATTTTGATAAGGCGGAAATGAGAAAATTCAAAGTTGATGATAGATGTTATCCTGCTGTGAGAATATGCCATGACCAACATATAACAATAGATCATCTTTCAGTATTGAATTATTGATTGGTTGAACTAGGCAAAACAGAAAAGAGTGAGAAAGAAAAAAAAAATCTGAGAAAGAGAATGATCGATTGATAGCAAAAACAACATTTCTATATTTTATGATGGACACATCACGTATTGTTCATTTGTTTTTACAATATTTACCAGATTTTTTTAGAAAAAGTAAGACTTATCAATAGAAAAAAAAGATTTTTTAATTATATTTTATCTTCTCTTTTGTTTTCTTTGCTCTTATAGAATTATCGCATAAAGATAATCATTTTTCACAGGTATTTATTCCTATTTAATGTTCACACTTGAATTACAGAGGGAATCAGTGTAACCTTAATAATTCAACAATGGCAACAGTTACCGACTTGCAATTTTCAGCAGTTGAAAGCGAAAAATGCCGGCAATCTTTTTGTTTGATACTATATATGACAAAATTATTATAAAATCTATAGTCTTCGAAAAAAAAATTCATGAAAATGGTGTTCAATTCCCATTTAAGTTTTTATTTAAACATGTATTTCAGATCTATAGTTCAACAGACGATTTTATATGATTATCTTCTCATATTTCAATGGTGACGAGAGAATTATCCCCTAGTGACATTCATCGTTGGAGATCATATTAAACCCACAAGCATGTCTCACTAAGAATAGCCAAAGCCTAAAAGGATTCATCCCATTGGGCCTCTTTTAGACTTTTGCTAGTCTCACTGAGACCTGCCTATGGGTCCAATATCAGCTTAGACAAAGGATGTCAGTTGGAGTAGTTCCCTTGTAAGCAAAGGGAATTGTGTATCTTTCGATCAAATTATATATATTCTTTCGATTTTTTAGCAAATTTTCTAATTTTCTATCAAAGATTTCTTGAAACAAAACACTGTTGAATGTTTTTTGAACATAATAGATTTTATAATAATTTTGTTTTATATAGTATCACACAAAAAAGACGTTCAGAGTTTTCTTTTTTATATTTTTGAAAACCATAGATGACTAACTGTTGCCGTTGCCGAGTTATTTCGTTAATGCTCATCCATTTTTAATTCAGACATAAACAAATAGTCGATTGTATTAAAAATTAAGTTTTTTTTCTTGTGTAGAATTTTTCTAGTCAATGTTCTTTATTTGCATCTATGACCAATATTCATAATAATAATAATAATAAAGAAAATCTTATTTATGATAATGATGGTTTTTTATTATTAATGGAAACAGCTCAATCAAATCTTTCATTATTTAATGTTAGTTGTGATTCACTTATTGTTAATGAGAATGATGATTTCAATCAAAAATCAACACAAACATTGAATACAATTAAACATTATAATAGTTCAATGGATATTTATCTAGATATTAAAAAGTCTCATCATCGTTTAACAATGACTTTTTCAGAAGAAGTTATTTCTTCGCATACAAAAACTTTACAACGATGGAAAGGACACGAATTATTGAATACATGTGCTTAATAAATTTTTCTTTTTATAGTTTGTTAGAAATATATATGTATAAATCAATCTATACTCTCTGCGATATGTATATAAATCTTTTGAAATATTAACAAAAACCTTTTTTTTAAATGGATTGTATTATAAAAGATATTGACTTTCATGACTAATCTTTAGTAGAACTATAGTCAGTTGAAAATATCTTTGTATGAAGACCATTCTCAACAGAGCAATATATTCGGGTTTAAACCAAGAATGGTTTAATGGCTTTGTTCATTGACCACTAAGAAGCATTTCTTCTGTTCATTTCATTAATTCAATTTTCCCGAAGAATGAGTCTATTACTATTTTGATCTATTTTGTTATTCGAATGATTCTACGATAACATTTGATCGATATCGTATTCTATACATTCAATTAGGCTTTCTCCAATAAACATTTCTTTTTTCTTTTCTACTAACTAATAGAATATCAAAAAATAAAAATCTAAAGTATAATTTGAGATGTAAGCCTTTTGTTTGAAATTTTCGACATTTNCATTCTTCTCCATAGTGAGAATTTGAATGAAAATGTTTGGTACTGCAATGTACTAGCAGTTGCCTCATTTGCTCAGTCTAGGGCCCAGTGAATCGACTTTTAACGTCGATGAACCTTACTTTTAAAATATTTTCATTGACTCGTATTGTTTACAGTGATTCCTGTATTCTGATTATAGTTGAGTGACTATTGTCTGAAGAACAATTGAATATTTTCATTTCACTTCTTTTCGTTCTTTCTCAGAAGAAGAGTTGAATGTATTCCTTTCCTTCTTTTCGCTGTTTTTCAATTAACTATCCTGCTCATAATTCAGTATCTACTATACAGAACACCGAAATATTTTCGTTATCCTATTTCCATTCTTTCTCAATTCGATATTGTGATTTTTATTGGCTACAAATTATTTGCTCAGTAAAAATATTGAAATGCTAAGTAGATTAGTGCTAAGTAAACTGTGTGATTGCTCAGTAAAAAAATTGAATGCTAAGTAAAAAAATTGGATGCTCAGTAAATAATTTGTTTCTCAGTAGAAAAAATATTTGCTAAGCTAAAAAAATATTCACTAAGTTAAAAAATAAATCCTAAGTAAATAATTTTTTTGTTAAGTTAATAAATTGAAATTACAGTAAAAAAATCAAAATATTAAGTAAAATATTAATTATCACTAAGTAATTTCGAATAAAACAATGTTCGAATATCTAAGGTAAAAAAAATTCTTTATGTTGGTATGACGCATACATTTTTCTTCTTATTTTCCTACTATAAACATTAAAGTACACGTAGTTCGATATATATGTATATTCCAACTATTTCTTTTTGTTCGTTCGGAGGTAGTATGTGAATGAGTGCATGCTTGTCTTCGAGGATGTTCTAGTAGAATTGCTTGTACTGTTTGTTTATCGTTTCCATTGCATATGATCTCCGATATTTTCTCGAAAGTTCATAAATCATGCCGAATATGTATCTTCTAGTGAGTTCTCAGGTCTTCTCTTTCTTGTCCACGCGTATATAAATATATATATGCGCTAATGAAAAATGTGTTTAATTGAATCACTATGGCGAATTTTACGACAACACAAGCATATGAAAGTTCATCTGAATCGGATAATGAAATGAAAGTTGATCAATCACATATTCAAAGAAAACCGATCGCTCGACGAAGTGTTCGTTGGGTTAAAGAAAAAGTTTATTCGGATGCTAACGATGCTCAAAATGCAATTAAACAAGAGAAGCGGTGGAGTAAATATTACACCAACAAAAGTCGTGATGGAATAAAAGTGCATTATCGCTGTAATCAGGTGCCATTTCGCGGCAAGCAATGCGATGCAGCAATACATCTCTATTACCCAAATGATAGCAGTGAAGTATTATTGTTTCATACAGACAGTGAACACGATCACGCAAATTTAACTCAGCGCAAATGTTTTTCTGAAGAACTTAAACAGCATATTGATGAATTATTTGATTTAAAACTGAAGCCGAAGAAAATATATGAAGTTTTACAAGAAAAAAAAATTATGATTACATCTAATCAATTGAAAAATTATTTGATGCAACTGCGTAAAAAGAAATATGGTGCTTCAACTATAAACTTAGGAAACTTAGAAAATTTATGTGCTGAAAACTCTACAGTACCACAATCTGAAGATGAAACGTTTGTTCTTTCTTACCATGTGCAATATGAAGATGATATTGATGATAACGAGGACGCAATGGATGGTGAAAATAAATTTAGATTTTTTATAACAACGAAAAGGTTATTGGAAATCGCTTCTATTTCAACACGAATACATGCAGACGCCACATACAAACTCAATTGGCAAGGATTTCCTGTATTGATAATAGGAGCAACTGATTCTGATAGAAAATTGCATCCACTTGGATTGGCAGTTTGTAGTAATGAACAACAACAAGATTTCGAATTTATTTTCAAAAGCATTTCCAACGGTGTTGACCAAATAGTTCAACCGAAATTCATGCCTGAAGTTTTAATAGCTGATGGTGCTGATGCCATACGGAATGCACTTAAGACAACATTTAACAATGATAAAATTGTGATGTACTGGACGCATATGCGACGATATGTTGATAAAAAGTTAAGTAATGTTAGTTTCAGACAAGAAATATTAGATGACATCGACAAATTACAATTATGTGAATCAGAAAAAGTCTTTAACAAAGCATTATCATTGTTTGTTAAGAAATGGAGCCAAAGAGAACATGACTTTTTACAATACTTCGAAAACGAATGGTTGAAAACTTTTTCTTCTTGGTATGAAGGATACAATTACTTCATACCTAGCACTAACAATTCATTAGAGGCAACCAACAGAGTGATCAAAGATGAACACACGTTTAGAGAACGACATCCATTATCAAGATTTTTTGTAATAGCCAATGACATCGTACGTAGATGGTCTAAATCTCGGGATCCAAACCAAATAGATCCAATTATTTGTTCATCAGAGCCAACAATTACATTAAAAAAATGAACTGATGCTTATCATTTTGCTAAATCGTCGAANTTGTCTCTTAACTAGTCGGCCAAACTGTTAATTATTAAAATGCGCTATATGAAAGAGAGGAAAAGTTGTCGACTAAACGGGAAGAAAATTTTTGTCGACGAAACAGGAAGAAAATTTCTGTCGACAAAAAGGGATCAATTAAGGACCTGTCGACCAAATGGGACTGAACCACATTTAATCGATATCGTATTCTATACATTCAATTAGGCTTCCTCCAATAAACATTTCTTTTTTCTTTTCTACTAACTAATAGAATATCAAAAAATAAAAATCTAAAGTATAATTTGAGATGTAAGCCTTTTGTTTGAAATTTTCGACATTTTAAATATGCGATTTAAACATCAGACTACTTCAGATATAATTCCAAGGATTTTTTAAATCTATTTTCCATTGATTATACAGGATGAACCATGTATAGTACTACGATAAAAAATTGAAATCTGTCCACTTCGATTCGCACGAATGGGCTGAGTTTTTGAAAAATGAATCTAAGAGCCGTAACAGACGCTATTCATGTACTGTCAAGTAAAAAAGCATGCATGAAGTGTTTCATAGATAATTTTCAGTTGTCATCGAATAAAATAATAAGAAATCAAAACGAACTTTATAATGAATACTATACTAATGCACATAGAGCAAAAATATTCAGAATTAGTCGGTTCAAATATTGAAATTTGCACCTCAAGGCAGCTCTTTTGAGAACTGACTTCTTTGCAAAAACTACTGTTCCATTTTTGAAAATACGAAATTTTGTAATCGTTAACTTGTAAAGTAACTAGTTTTGAATATGCATCAATGACTGATAAATCAATCCATTTAAACGAGCCAAAGCAGAGAAATTTTAATTTTCTATTGTGATATTATTTATGGCCTATCCTGTGAATCACAACAAGGAATATCATTATTATAAATAAATATTTTCATAATATTATGCTTTCGATATTTTCATTTTTATTCAATCATTTAATATTTTTATACACAGACGTTTTAGTTTAGTAGAAAAAGAAAAATTCTAGAGAATTGATTCTTGTTCAGTTGTTTGTGTTTCAATTGTATTTACTTCATTACTTGTTAAGCTCACGGATTTCTAAAAAAATTATAGAAAAATAAACAATAATCAATAAAAGTGCTAATAAGAAATACTTTATGTTTCCAATAACATGAAAATATGTTTTCCCATGGTATCAATAATGATTTATCTATCGTTTTTGGATCATTTGAACCTATAGGATATGCGAACCATTAATATTCGTTGAATAAAAGGAAAAAAAAGAATATTTACCAAAGATAAATGATCCTAACAAACTAATAACAACAATAATAACAACAGCATTAAAAGAATACCACATTACAGATATTGAATAAAGTGGTAATAGAGGATTTGAACTATATAATCAACCAATTAAACTTAATTAATCTTATCTATGAAAGGAAATCACCTTTGATTTCTTGGAATTGTTCGAGTAGTATTAATTGATGATAAACATCCTTTAATGGACGTAGATAATCGTCCGTCTTTTGCTATTTGTGGTTTAACTGTTAAAGTAGCACCCATGAGTACCCATGTTTGAAATAATAAACAACATATAAAAGCCAAAAGAATACTCTATATATTTTATACTAAATTTAATAAATTTTATCGAATAAATTTATTATAATCATACTCGACTATTTACTCGTGGTACAAAAAATCCAATTAGAAAAACTCCTAAAATTGGTGCTGCAAATGAACCAGATATTTGAAAAACTATCTATTTCAAATATAACATAAAAATCAATAAAATACATAAAATGAATTACCACTATAATATTATTTCCTAGAAAAGATGTAACATATGCTAAAAATACCACAAGAAGACCAATAAATACCGCTAAACAAACAACAAAACGAACAAATATATTCGAAAACAAATTTTTCATAATTTACATAATATCTTTGAAATAATAGCTTGTTTTTTATCAGACATTAAATTTCCTATTGATAGTTTTTTATAAATATCTTCGAGAAAAACAGTTGTTATACTATTTATTCCACTAGATACTGTACTTAACGAAGCACTTAAAACAGAAGCAATAAATAAACCTGTTAAACCCGGAAATCGACCTAATGTTTCAATAATAAATAATGGATAAAGCTAAATATAATAAATATTCAGTAGAATATTAATAATGAATATTATTATTTTTTTCACTTGATCAGGTTTAGATATTAATTTAGCTTGAAGAGGATCACATTGGCTATATTTTGCATACAGAAGACAGCCAACAGATGCACAAAGAAACAACATAATTGTACACATTAGAAAATTTACCCAAGCAACTCTAAAATTAATTCAAAAGAAAAATTTTTTATCGATTTTCTTTTTTATCGCAAGATAAATACTTTTGTGCAGCTCGTGTACTTCTTACACATAAATAACGCTGTGCTTGAGTTTGTAAACAAGAATATACAGCTGTAGCAAATAAACTACCACCAATAATTACACTCCAAACAGTATATCGAATTGATGGATCCAGTGTAATTCTAGTAATTTCAAAACAAAGAAAAAAAAAAAATTTAAGATCTCTTCGAGAAATAGCAATGGCGGTCTTGTCTCTCCTAGGACCAGATCATTGTAGATCTCCAGTCGTGATAGGTATTTATAATGTCTTTTCCTTCTAAATTACATACGTTGAGAATTGAATTCGATTTCCATCCATTACACTTTTAAGTACATTTTTTATTCCACCAGCATCATAAAATCCTATAAACCAATAACAAATAAATCTTTTTAGGAACAAAAATATATTCATCATACCAATAATAACGGATAAAATAACTCCAAGAAACATCATTACCGTTTGCGTAACATCAGTCCATATAACTGCTTTCATTCCACCCTTAATGATTTAATCGATTCAATATTTACATATTTTTAATATTTAATTACATACAATACTTGTATAAAGTGTACAAATAATGCCACATGATCCAACTGTTAACCATATATTTAAACCAGTTACTTGGCTTAATGCTAAACTTGGTCCATATAAAATAACAGCTATATAAAAAATCTTAACAAAAACTTAACTTCTAGACATTACTAGGATTTTTTTTGTACTACTACTACTGCTACTAACCGTTACTACCATATAAATAAGTGTGACAACAATACGAACTGTTAATGAAAAACGTTGTTCAAGATACTAGAAGAATAGAAAATTTCTCTTTGAAAAGGATTATATTTTTATTACATACTGCATAGATACTTAAATTTCCTATTTGACGAAACATTGGAATAAATAAATTTACTGTTAAATAAGTACCAATAAAATAAGCAAAAACTATAAAATAAAAATATCGATATTTTAAACTTTACATTGAAAAGAAAATTTACTCCAATAGATATACATTGTTCCATATGAATAAATTTCAATAGGAATTCCAAGCAGAGTTGCTGCAGACATCAAACTTGCTAATAAACTCATTGCAGTCGGTAAAATCTTTAAAAAAAATAATATCCGTGCAAAAATTACTGTTACGACTCTAATTACCTTCATTCTTCCATCAGCAATAAGAAATTCATTTGTAGTCAATTGTTTAGATCGAAAACAACCTTGATAAATACCAATACTCACCGAAAAACCTAAAATTATCATTAATAAAGAAAAATAAAATGAAATTATGCTTATTAACTAACCCAAAAGTAAAACCAACATGCTATAATCAACCCAACCGAGATACATCTAAAATGTTCATTACCTTAATATTTTCTTATAATGTCTGTTTTACAAACCAACAAACGATATCAAGAAAAAACTAAGATGAGAAAAAAAAATGCTTTTATTAATTATTTGTCGTCAGTATTTAAAAATAAACTAGTCAAGTGTACTTGTCTCTTTTTCTTTCGTTGAAAATGTAAAGTAAATCTATTGATAGAAGAAGCAACTTCTTACATATATATTAATTTATTCGATAAATATATTATAAAAGAAAAATGACGCCCTTCAATAATAGAGTATAGATTATTATTGATAAGAAATACTACAAATACTACGTAGTTGTTATATAGAAAAAAAAGCGAAATAAGTACGCAAAATTTATCTTAGTAAATTAAAAAGAAAACATTTTCCTATACAAGTTATAGAAATTATATTAATACGCTTCAATGATTTATTTTAATTTATGTTTGATTGATTTCAAACGGTTACCATACGACAGTTTCATGGTATGAAAAAAAAGTAACCCTATAAGTACATTAATTTGAAATTCTTCGATGGAATATTTACGATAGAATTCGTGAATTAATTTTATTGGTAATCTTTCATAGAGTATCATATTTGCATACAATTTTACATTTTGTATAGCAAATAAATATAAATCTATTATGATTAAACATAACTTCCATCAAAATAAATACTACAAGTTAACATCAAAATTTCTTTAACTACTAAGCCATGATTTATTTGAATATGTTAAGTATTCGATTCTACGATCAATAAAACTACGAATAAAGAACATAATATATCATATGCGAAAGAGTAATATTACATTTCTGAAGTGAAGAAAATATCTATTACATTCATATGAGATATATATTCCAAAAATTTCTTTCACACAATGATAAAAATTATGTGGATAAAAAAAATCATATTGGAATAAACATTTTTAATATAATACCAAAGTCAAAATTTACGCATAACTCACCAAAAGTATGTTAGTACAAGTGATATAAGTTTCGTTTGTAAGTTAATGTTATACATTCAAAATTATGCATCAATCTATGTCAGCAAGTTAGTTGGTCTACTTTATATTTTTTTTTGTCATTCGTTCTTATTTCATAATTTGATTGATAGTTTATATTACGCATTTGAGAATGATGCAACGTATATATTATAACATTGAGTGAATACGTAGTATTTTCTCGCTTATTAATTGTTTCTATCATTTGATACTGCAGTAACAAATTTTTTAGCCCTCTTCGCCTCTAAAAAAGTCTGATTTCTACAGGGTACATCAAATATTAATAAAACTTTGTAGCGTTGCTCGATTTATGGAAGTGCATTAATAAAAACTATTTCACGGTTCCACATCTAACCATTCAGGAGATTCCCAGAAACCAACTGGCAACACTCGGGTTACTTTTATTTGAATGAAAACTTCTTACCACTTCCATTGAGTGGAAGAATTGTTTTCTTTTTAATTTTTACGCTGCTTCTTTTTTCGGATCCTCAAAACCTCAAAAGTGTGAAGTTTCTAGACATGATTTTCTGAAAAACTTAGAGTTTATTTATCATTGACGATTAATTTTGAAAGTCTTTTCTTTCACCGAAAGAACTGTGAATATATTTACCAGATAAAAAAAACAATTTTCCAGAATGAAGTATGTTGAGAAAAAAATTGTCCGAAGCTTGATTGTTGTCGGAAAAATCAATTTTGAAAAGTTATTCTTTTATATTGTCTTGCTATTAATACTTACGATGGAAATGAAGCATAAATATATTATTTGTCATTTGAAGTAGTTTGTCTGTGTACATTAGATTATCCTCGTATGAAATGCATCACGATAGATGATGCTACTTACCATTGTCTTTATTTTTGTTATACCATTCAATGAAGAATAACAAATTAATAATTTTTTTTAAATTCGTTTGTTGCCTTCAGGTTTATTTAAAGACTGATAATGATGGTTAGTTTTTACAAGAGTTTGAGTATAGATATCTGTGACAAGAAGATCCACATATCTGCATCCTCAAGTCATTGAACATCTCAAAAGTGTGTCTATGAGATGGCAAAGATTTGATTATTTCGGAAAAATATNATCATCTTAATTGAGGAGAAATATGTGACCACGACGAGGGTGCGATAATAAAAAAAAGTCTGATGCATATTGTACAATTTTATCCATGAAAGTAGCAAAGTATTTGATAAACTTGTTGTGGTCTCTCAAAAGCCTGCAGGCCAGGTCAGGCCACAGGCCAAACACCTTATTCTTAGCCTGGCCTGTTGGCAGTTCTGTCACATAAACATCCAATCAGTATGAAACAAAAATTTCAAACGAAAGATTAACCTCCTTTTAATTTTGTTTTGAATAAAAATTTTTAGATCTTTTTAATTCATAATGAAAATATGTCAGAAGTGTAAATGACGATTGTATGATTCTTTATTCAGTGAAAAATTATCGATAAGCTGTCATGTATATATCATTGTCTTTGGAGAAAAGTTTAAAAAGAAAATTTTTTCTTTTTAACCTGAACTTTGTGATGATGTTGTTAAACAACTTGAATCACATATTGAACAAATTGAATCCATATGTGTGGATGATGTTTATGATTTAACATCATTTGATATTCTATATGCACTAAGATTGGTTATTGAATTATTTGTTGTTGTTGTTGTTTTAGAATTAACAAGAATAGATGATATAGATTTTTCATCTTTATTTTGTTGTTATTGGTTGAAATAAATTCGTACTACTACTACTTTCACTGCTAACAATAGATGCCATGATTGATGGTTAATTTATTAAATCAGACAATGATTGTTTTTGTGATATTGATAATATTGTTGAATATTCAATTCATTCATTGATGATGGTAAAGAAGATGCTTATGATTGGAAATCTTCTTCAACTTCTTCCAATAATTGCTCTTATTGTTGTTGATATTGGTACAGATCATTCAAACAAAACAGATAAATGATTACATTCATTATTATTTATATAAAATGTTTTGTTGTTTTCATTTTTATCATTTGTAGTTTGATTTGTTGATATTGAAACTTCAGCTTGTTCTTTTTGCGATTGTTTAGCCATCACTAATAATTTCAAATGAAGTTGAATAGTTTCATCATCAAGAAAAACAAGTTCTATATATTCTTCGTATTAACCTGAATTTATGTAAACAAAAAAAAACAACATTTTAAAATAGAAAACAAATGACAAAATTAAACTAATTCCATTTTCAGTGAGAATTGTTCGAAGTTTTAACATCAATGCTAATCTTGAATGGCCCATTATGAAGGCAAAAATGAAATTGTTCGTATTTGGTTTTAAGACAAAATTGATAAGGTTTGTCTTCTCTGAAAATAAAACTATTAGTTATGTAAAATAGTATAGGATGTAGTAAAAAATCGAGACAAGTCATTATCTTTATTACCGAACACTAACACATTTTTTAAAATGAAGTGTAAACGAAAAGATTAGGTAGTGATAATCGAATTTTTGAAAGTGACTGAAAAGTCGAAGAGAACAATAAATCACTGTCTGATACTTTTAAATATTATAATAAATGATAAGTCTTATGGCATAAAAAAAGATTCAGTAGATGATGAACGAACATTTAATTGGCTCTTTGTACAAACTGTGGAATGATCATTAGTAAACAAACAAAATCACTTGATTCATGAGGTCTGACAATCTATGTATTCAAAAATAGACACGTATTCTCAATAATTACAAGTGAGTCTAAATAATCGAAACATTTTTTCTTGAAGCAGACTTGATTATAAGCAAACCATAACTTTGAAGAATCCCCTCTCTCGTTTTTGGTCATTTCTAATTTTCGAAGAGGACATGGCAGATCCGCTTGATACTTTTACCACAAAGAGAGAGAGCACCTAAAACAAGCAGACAGGTATTCGAGGAAAAGAAATTTAAACAAGATTTTCGCAGTCTTTTTCAGAAAAACTCTGGTTTTTCGTAAAGTCACATTGGAAGTAGACTGAAGCTTTTTCATAATTCTGGCTTTCTTTTTCTTTCTATGAAAGAAATACGTAAAGGTTTGTACCCGTAATTGAGGTACTGGCGTTCAGTATTCTATGAATTCGGTCTATTTCAATTGGTGGAGAATAATTCCAAGCGTTTGTCATCGAAATTTTAACTTGATCAGACAAAGTTTGACAGCAGTTGTAAGTGAGCCATATGTAGTCCTATGGACAACAAGAGGTTTCCAGAAAACTTTGATAAAACCATGTTTCAATTTTTTTTCCTCGAACACATGTCTCCTTATTTTAGGTATTCTATCTGTGGTAGAAATTTCCTGAGGGTTCATTGTACCCCCTCTACGAAAATCAGAAGTGGTCAAAAGAAGTGGAGAATATCCTGAAACACAGATTTTTTTCTTTATTTTCTACATTAAGTTCAATTGTAACTGGCAGATATAAAGATACACCATATTGCAGAAAACATAGAAAATTTTACATAAAATATTTCTTTAGATTCTTAAACTGACAATTAGATTTAGTACTGTAATAATATCGGTAAAAAAATTAAGTCAGATAATTGAAAAACCATCATTATGAAAATGAATAAGCTTTTTGTAATTGTTTACGGTATAAATTCATATTGAAAAACACTGTATATTGATGTTTCTTATTACATATTCTGTAGTTTTCTATGTCAAAGAACAGGATTTCCCTATGGAATTGAAATCAGAAAGAATATTTAGTATACTTTCTCATATTTTTTTTCTCAGAAAAATAAAATCTATAGAAAATCTGAAGTACAAAATTTATTGCAAATATATCGGCAATTCTTACAATTTTATTAGATTTGAAACAGACATTTCCATCGTTCTCTTGAACAGAGCTAAAACTTATCAATGAATATGAACTCAACTCACATTGACGCATGCCTTTTGTGTATTTCTTCATGCACTGATAATGAGTGACACCTATTCAAAAAGTTTTGCTTCGGTTTTTCAAAATTATCCTTTTGAAAAATGAATCCAAACATTATTTAATTTAATAAATTTATCAAATTTGACTTTGAAATCATAATTAAATCTGTATGGTCAATTTTCGGGTAATACTAATATGGCAATGGTAGAAAACAAGCAATTCCCAATCCATAGTATATCAACTCGTTGTCCAGTATTATTGATGTTACTCTACGTTGCGTACCCTCTATCGTTCGTCTCTATTTATGTTTATATCTCATCCCAATGTATATCTATTTCCTGTTGTATTTTTTTTTTGATATCTTTCTGTTTTCTCTTTTTTTCACACCATGAGACCGACTAAATAATCGGTATCAAAATTATTGAACAACTATTTGATTATGTTTATTTTGTCTTCTAAAAATTTTAGCATGAACAATTAAATTTTTCCATATGAAAAGTACTTCACGAACGACTCCGGTAACTGATCAAGCATTAAAGCATAATTCAAAACAAGATCTAGCAACAGATTTAACTGACGTTTCAATAATTTCTGTTGGCTTAACACGTTATCCACATCATAATCATAGAATGCTTACAGACGACGAAGAAGATATTGAAGTTGTTATTAAAAAAAGAAAAACTTATATAAATATATAATGAATTTTCATTTTTTGTTTTTTTAGGATGAAACAAGTGATGAAGAAGAAGATGCTGATGAAGATGATGAAATTCCATCACCATTTATTTCTCATTCACATTTATCATTAAGTAGTAATAATAATGATGATATAGATATTGGTCCTATTGATCCTGATACACAAGCTAAATTAGCAGCAATTCTTGAAGCAACTGGTATAACAAATTCTCCTATACCAGAAGATTTTTGGCGTGATCAACAAGTTGTACGTTTATTAACAAGTAGTGTAACAAATAATTTTAATGGTTTACATGAAATAGCAAATGTTTTATCATCATCATCACTACCATCAACAACAACAACAGCAACCTCAACAACATTATCACAAAATGAAAAAAAATCAAAATTAATTAATAAAGATTCCGGTGTACTTCTTCGTGCATGTGTAAATAATGATCTACATACAGTTGAAAAAATTCTTCAAACAAAAAATATAAAAGAATATTTACATGATATTAATGAAGATGGTGATAGCATATTATCGTTAGCTTGTTCAAATGGTTATACAGATTTAGTTGAACTTATATTACGTACTATACCTGATATTGCTGTTGATGATAGAGGAAATAAACAAGATTGTACACCATTAATGGAAGGTTTGATTAATAAAATAAAAGTTTCGAAATTATTGTTTTTTTTAACGTATTTTTTGTAATTAAGCTTGTAATGCTGGTCATTATGAAATCGTTGAACTTTTAATAAAAAATAAAGCAAATGTAAATATACAATCAACATCTGGAAATACAGCATTACATTATGCAGCTGGAGGAGTAAGAGACAGATAGCAATGAAAACCCAAACAATTTTCTTTTTTTCTCAAAAGGGTTATGTTGATATTGTTCGGCTTTTACTTAAACATGGTGCAAAAGTTGAAGAAACTAATGAAAATGGTCATACACCCTTGGTAAATTTCTTTTTCCAAATTTTTTATCATTTATATTTTATATTCTTTTTAGATGGAAGCAGCAGGTGGTGGACACGTAGAAGTTACTCAAATGTTACTTGATCATGGTGCTGGTACTAATAATCAATCAAAAGATAGTAAGATCATATTGTTTTAATCTATTTTTTTTTGAAAAACTTTTTCTTTCGTAGAAAATGGAAATAAAACTGATGAATTACATACAGGTAAGAATAAAAATTTAGAAATAGGAATTTTTTGTAAATTCCATCTTTTTTTTAGCTTTAATGGAAGCTTGTATGGACGGTCATGTTCAAGTAGCAAAATTATTACTTGATCATGGTGCTGATGTTAATATGCCACCTGATAGTTATGAAAGTCCATTAACATTGAGTGCATGTGGTGGTCATTTTGAACTAGCTTCATTACTTATTGAACGTGGAGCAAATTTAGAAGAAGTTAATGATGAAGGTTATACACCATTAATGGAAGGTATGGATAGTTTAGATATTTGTTAAAACATAATTTTTGATTGAAATATTTTTTTAGCAAGTAGAGAAGGACATGATGAAATAGTGAGTTTACTTGTTTCGAAAGGTAGGATTTTTAATTTATTGAAATGAATTAAAGAAAAAAAGAATTTAATTCTAGGAGCTAAAGTTAATCGAACAACTGAAGAAGCACAAGAAACTGCACGTAAGTGATTTTTTTTTTAAACACAATAGAATTTTCGAGAATGAAAATTATTAGTGAAGGAATATTGTTGTATTGAATTAATAAATACATTACTGTTAATTTGATAACTTCAAGAGTTAGCATATTATTTAATAGAATTCGAAAAGAAATATATATTCATTTCTTTATACTATTCTTTTTATATTTATTTAGTGACATTGGCATGTGCCGGCGGATTTTTAGAAGTTGTAAAAATTCTTCTATCGAATGCAGCTGATATAAATTTGGGTCAATCAACACCTCTTATGGAAGCATCACAAGAAGGACATATTGAACTTGTTCAATATTTAATCGAAAATGGTATTATTATCTTATTTTTCTTATCTGTACGCTTTAGTCATTTGTTTATCTTTTAATAGGTGCAAATGTTAATCAAACAACTCGAGCTGGCGATACAGGTATTATAGATTCTTTTAAACTGTAATAAAAATAATAAACTATTTGATTATAATTAGCATTGGGTTATGCTTGTGAAAGTGGACACACAGAAGTAGCTGAAATATTACTTAATGCCGGTGCACATATTGATGAAGCTGAAAATGAAGGACGAACACCATTAATGAAAGCATCACGAGTAGGACATACATGTACTGTACGATATTTAATATCTAAAGGTAAAAAAACAAAATATTTCTAATTATAAATTGATTCTTTTTCTTTTGTTTACTATTAAGGAGCGGATGTTAATCGTTCAACAATAACGAATGATGCAACTGTTCTTTCATTAGCATGTGCTGGTGGTCATTTTGAATTAGCAACAATTTTATTATTAAATGGTGCTGATCCAAATCATTTACTTAAAGTAATTTTTGATGTCAAAACAAAAAGAAAAATTATTTAATTTAATTTTATATTTAGGATCGATCGAATTGTTTGATTGAAGCAGCTAAAGGTGGCCATACAGCTATTGTTCAATTATTACTTGAGTATCCGAAAAGTATTTTAAATTGTACAATAAATTCTGTTGAAACGAATGATGAAAATATTAATGATGATGATGACGATGATGATGATGATGATGATGATGATGATGATGACGAGAATTTAACAGTAACAATGCCAAATTCATTTCCATTACCATCACCACCATTAAATGATTCAAATTTAAAAATTGATGATGATGAAAAATCTAATGAAATAAATAATTCATCATTTACATTATTTGAACGTTTAGAAAAAATTGTTCCAAGAAATATTCTTGAAGTACTTAAAACAGTTGAAGTTGATTCGAATGAATTACATGGAAATATTGATACAACAGGTTTGTTTTATTTTAAAAAATATTTATTTAATATAGATAATGTATATTTTAGATATTTCTACATATCCATGGCCAAATACAGATCGATTACCATCACCAATTAATGATGAAGCATCATCAAATAATACAGATCAAGCAAAAAAACTTTATTTATTAGGTAATAATTGCTTTTTTAACTAAGAAAAGTTCTGAAAACGTAAGTCGCTAATAGGATCGAGTTTTTTTATCATAAGTGTATAGTGGTAGACATAAGTTTAGAGTTACTGTATTTTTCAGTTTTGTTCTCATCGATAATAACTGAGAAGACTTTGAGAAAAAAATTAAATAGCTGAAAGAGTTCTTTATCAGGATTGGTGGATCTAAAAACTGCTTGGATGAACATATCTGAAAAATCAAGACGCTCAAAAACCAGTTTTCTGGTATTTATTTGAAGATTTTTGGAAAATGTTTCGTTAGATGGAGCAAAATTAGATGTTTCTAGAAGGTACCAAATACGGTGAAATCCTTAAAAATTTTCATAATAACAAAAGAAAAATGCTTCTTGGGGTTTCTGTGAATTGAATTCAGTTCGATGAAGAGAACTGAAACATCGTATTTTGCTCTACCAAATGAAATTATTGCCGAAAAGATTTAAATCGATGCTAAAAAACTCGTTTTGGAAGTGTTGGTTTTTCAGGCATCGTCATCTAAGTAGTTGTTAGATCTTCCAATCCTGATAGAAAATTCTTTCGACTATTCAAATGTTTTTTCCAAATCCTTATTAGCTATTAGAATCGAGAAGAAAACTTAGAAATGTAATTGCTCTAAACTTTTGTCCGTTTCAAGTTATTTCAATTTTACTGTATTTTTATCTCTGGCAAGATAGTTGTGACATTAATCCAATTAAAAATTTTGCCTATAAGTGGGTCTCGTGAACATCATGATGTTCTGAAATGTTCAACATAAAGATATGCGTTCTTTTTGAGTTGTTGAATATTCGAAGACAATCATGTGTCTCAAGGAAAGTCCAGTATTTTTAACATTATGTTCACGTGGACTACTTATAGAGGAAACTTCATTATTCGAGTTCTTCACGACTACCTTACTAGAGATAAAAAACCTCAGTAAAATTCGTCATAACATAGGAAGAATAGTTCATAGGAAATGAATTCTGATACACATCTAATAGTCTCATTAAAACCTACTTATAGGCAAAATATTAATTCGATTGGTGAATCACACTTGAAGATCTTTCTTCATAATAGAAAATATTTATTTTTTCTTAGAACAACTTCAACATGTCGAAAAAGAATTACATGATAAAGCTCAACAACATTTAAAACTTAATCAAGAATATCGTCAACAAGTAAATGATTATATTAATTTAAATTCTTCTTCAACATCAAATCCATCAGCAATAACGAAAAAAAAACGTACAACATCATCATCGTCTGCATCAAGTTCTTCATCATCATCTAAACATGATGATCAAACTAATTCATCAACAATATTACCAAATCCAAGTCAAACAATAAATTTTTTTTCTACATCATCTATTGAATCTGATCAATGTTCATCGATTCCATCATCACATCATCATCATCATTCAAAAATAAAAAAATCTTTCAATAGACAATTATCAAAATATGATCGTCGATTAGAACATTATATTAATGATAATCAAACACATCTAGATGAAATGAATATACATTTAAAAAATCTTAAATTAATGTCATCATCATCATCAACAGAATCAACTCCAACAAAAAATCCTATGCGTATTAATACAGATAAACAAAAAGCATTCGAACATTTACGTCAATTAGCAAGTTATCCATCAACACTTGAACGAATACAAACATTAGCTAATAATCCAAATATAATAAAAGAAATTCAAAAATTTGCTAATCAAAAGCCATTTATTGAACAATTAAAAGCATTACAACAGACAACAACAACAACAACAACAACAACAACAACAGCAGAAAAGAGTAAGTAATAGAATTAATTAAGTAATGTATCAGTCGTATGAATTTCATTAACTCACAAAGAAAAGTATGCATTAACGATTCGAATTTATATTGTTGAAAAAAACAGAGAAGTACATGAAAATATTGATTTAATTGAACCGCATTAAACTATAGCGAGAAAATCGTAGTACAAAATATTCATTTATATTTCGGACATTTAAAGACAATTGACTTCGGCTCAGAATCAGATATTGTCGTTCTCTCCGAAGGTTTGTTCAGAATTTCCTATTTGAATAAAATTGTACAATTACCTTCAGATTGTTTTAAGAGAACCAAATAGTTTTTAATGGCTAAGTTTTCTAGATCAAAGCTTGCTCTACAAAGAACGTGCTATTTACTTCTGCATGATAGATTTTTAAGCTTATGTATTTTTTAAAAGCACTTTTTGAAATGGCGAATGTCGGTTTCCATATGAAGTGCCTATCGACTCCATCTTTGAGATTAACTCTGTAGTGGAAATGCAAAGAGAAGATTTCACTTATTGTCATATCTGATTGTGTATAGAATTCAGTGTTCTACAATAATATTGATCTATTCTAAGATACAAACTAAGTACTGTGTTAAAACTGATCATCTGCTTTATACAGACAAAGTTTTGAACTTGTTTACAAAATTTACTGATAGCTGTTTGATCTTATCCGAGAAAGAATATCTAAATATATCATTCGAAAATAGCGAATATTTCGTACTAAGATTTTATTCCTGTCGATTAAAAATCCAAGAAAATGAAGATGATTAATAAACGATACATCTAATACTGAAATTCTTAGAAGTTTAAATGTAAGCTTCTTCTTCTCGATCAATCTTAAACAAGAGAAAAAATCAAATTTAAAAAAAAATTTTTTCAATAGTACAAAATGATAGTTTTATTTCTTACTGAACATAAATCTTTATGATTAAATTTAGACTCACATACATGCGTATTCTAATCTTCATTTGCATTTTCTATTAACCTTTTTCAAAATAGTTATATTGAATTAATACAAACTTTTGATCACAATTTTTCATTTTAAATATTTATCTCTTTATAATTGAAATGAACTAAACCCTTTGTTTTTGTTCTTTTGTTCTAAAGTTACAACATCTGCTGATCAAGATTCAACAGTAACAACTTCTCAACAATGTCAAAATTTAATCATAGATACTAATGATTTACCTTTACCAGGAACATCTTCAACTAATAATCGTCATTCAGTATGTTGTGCTGAACATTCATCACAATTAATAAATTCTTCATCAAACATTTTATCTCATTTACGTTTTCAAAATCGTATTGATGTTGATTGTGAAACTGAATCTAATCATGATACAGCATTGACATTAGCATGTGCTGGTGGACATGAAGAACTTGTTCTTTTATTATTACAACGTAATGCAAATATTGAACATCGAGATAAAAAAGGTTTTACACCATTAATCCTTGCAGGTAAAATTATTATTCATTTTTAAAAAATTTTTCGAAATAAATATTTTTTTAGCTACGGCTGGTCATGCAAGTATTGTGTCAAGATTAATTGAACATGGTGCAAATATTGAAGCTCAATCAGAACGTACAAAAGATACAGCACTATCATTAGCATGTAGTGGAGGACGACAAGATGTTGTAGAAGTTTTATTGAAAAATGGAGCTAATCGAGAACATAGAAATGTTTCAGATTATACTGGTTTGTTTATTTAAAATATTCATAAAAAAAATCAATAATTATTTTTTTTTCTAGCTTTAAGTCTTGCTGCTTCTGGTGGTTATGTAGCTATTATTAAATTATTATTAAGTTATGGTGCAGAGATAAATTCAAGGTTTGTTTTCTTTTTTGGTTTTTGAATTTTTCTTATTTAAATCTTTGTTGATATTTAGGACTGGTAGTAAATTAGGAATTACTGTAAGTTGTTATTACGTTTTTTCTTCTATGAATAAAAGAATTGAATAATTTGTTTTAGCCCTTAATGCTTGCTTCAATGAATGGACATGTAGCAGCAGTGAAACTTTTATTAGATATGGGTGCTGACATAAATGCTCAAATTGAAACAAATCGCAATACAGCATTAACTTTAGCTTGTTTTCAAGGACGAGCTGAAGTTGTTTCATTATTAGTTGATCGTAAAGCTAATATTGAACATAGAGCGAAAACAGGTCTTACGCCTCTTATGGAATCTGGTAATATTACTTAGATTTTTTGTGTCGAAAAAATAATGATTTTTATTATTATAGCATCTGGTGGTTATGTCGATGTTGGTCGAGTTCTATTAGAACGAGGTGCTGATGTTAACGCACTACCAGTACCAACTTCGAAAGATACTGGTATGAAACTATATTAAATAATATTTCATGAGATTAATACGATTTTGTTATATCTTTTGTTTTTGATGAGTAGTGAGTAAGAGCATTTATTGAAATCAAGAAATTTTTCTATTGATAGCCATGAAGTCTTAGATTTCACTTTCATCTAGCCTTGAACTTAAATATTGTTCCAAAGTACACTCGCCAACGAGAACTGTCCATAGATCACAGAGCAATCAGGATGACTTAGTTTTAATTTATTATTATGAAAATAGTATGAGCAAATCAAAATAAAGAGATGAATCATCAATAAATATCTTTTGAATATATCAGCATTGTTTCATATAATTGGAAAAAAATGTATTTATGAAAGAAAAACAACATATGATCAGACATACAAAGAAGAGGTAAAAGAAAATGTAGGAAACAAGAGATGCTAAATAACAAGAGACAAGGACATTTATATTTGATTATCTATTTTTTCAACAGCATGAATGCAAAGTATATTATCTAACTGTTCTTGATCTAAACAAATTCTTGTGTCAATCAATATAAGTTCTACAATCTTAATTGACTTTCCACCGATGATCAATAACGATCATTAGTGGAGAAAAAATTCATAAACTTGTGGCGTCATCTAATGTATCAAGTTATATTAAGAAAAATAATATAACATCATACACAGGTCAACGACTTTGGTCTGACAATTAGAACTAGTTGGGTAGGACCTAACGGGCTCTGATCGTCTCAGATATAGATAGGTGCGCAGGTCACCGAAAATAAAAAGCTGGAAAAAACTATCTCGTATTTTCGGGTGACTACCGAACCCCAATTAAAAAATTTCATTGAGATTGTTAAAGTACAGTTCTATCGCATTCGGATCCATCAATTTTGTATTCCGACGGACCCTATTGTTGACTTTCATTCTAATTTCTTTGATTGGACAGTAAAAATGAATATTGATATTTATTTATCTGAAATCTCATTTACCAATCGATATGAAACGTAAACATTATTCATCTATCGCATATTCGTGCATCTATATAAGATAATAATAAATGTTAAGAAGAAAGAATTCAATCATAGACGTATAATCAATAAAGAGAAATTTTATAATTTTCTAGTCAACGATTAAGGTTATAATCATGAAAACTTGATTTATTTTAATAAATAATAATATTCTTTTAGCTTTAACTATTGCTGCTGATAAAGGTCATCATAAATTTGTTGAATTATTACTTCTTTATGGTGCAACGATTGATGTTCGAAATAAAAAAGGTGCTACACCTTTATGGCTTGCATGTAATGGTGGTCATTTAGAAGTTGTTCAACTACTCATAACACGTTTTGCAAATCCAGATTCAAGTGATTTACGAAAAGTTTCTTGTTTAATGGCTGCATTTCGTAAAGGACATATTAAAGTAGTCAAATATTTAGTAAGACAAGTACGACAATTTCCTTCAGATACTGATTGTCGTCGATTGATAAATACAATAACTGATAAAGTAAGTAATTTAAACAAAGTATTTTTTTTGTCTTTTTAACAAATTTGTTTTTGTACAAAAAAAAGGATTTATTAAAAAAATGTCAAACATGTATGGATCAAATAATGTCAGCTAAAGAACGACAAGCAGCTGAAGCTAATAAAGCAGCTACTAATTTATTAAAAGAAATTGAATCAGAAAAATCACGTGAACAAACAAAAAAAGAAGCTGCAGCTAAAAAACGTGAAAAACGTAAAGCTAAAAAGAAAGGAAAACAACAAACGACAACAATCACAAACACCACCATCAGCACCACCACAACAGCAACAGCAACAGCAACAACTAACGAACCAATAACTAAAATCGATGAACATGAACCCGAAGTTGAAGAACATAATGAAACATCTTCATCAAATGCTGTTGTTGTTGATGATGATGATCTTCGTCTTAAAATGGTTAAAACTGATAGTGAGCAAAAACCTTCATCATCAGAACGAACAACAAAGCAATTAACTAATAATAAAAAGAAAACAAATACAATGACAAGAAAAATTGAACGTCATCAAGAAAATCTTGTATCAAAAATAAAACAAGAAACTTCAATTATTGATGATGGTTGGCAAGAAGTTATTGGTAAACAAAAAAAAATAACGATTTCATATGAACAATATTCAAGAATTATTGGACGATGTGGTCCCAATTTAAATATGTTACGTGAAATAACTGGAGCATCAATTGATGTTGAAAATAAACGAACGATGGGAGATAAAACTATTTTAATCAAGTAAAATTTTATTTTCAAATATTTCTTTTTAAGTGTATTTTTCTTTTGAAATTTATAGAGGTAATGGAGATTCAATAAAACATGCACATCAATTAATAACAGCTTTATTGAAAAATTCTGAAACAGAATTAACAAATCTTTTACCATCAAAAAATAAATCACGATCAACAACTGTTGCATCAAATCATGATAATGATGGTGAAATACTGAGAACACAAAGATCTAACACTGGACCAAAATTACAAAATAATGGTAAAAAAAGTTTTCTTTTTTTCTTAAATTAGTGATAATTATCATATTATTCAGCTGAGAACAATCAAAATTCATAAACAATAAACAATCTTCTTATTTGTATTTGTCTTTCTGATCTTGCCGATCGATGGGAAAGATATATCCTTATTAAGAAGTTTCACAATGTTTTACTTGATTATCCATTCTTTCATGTAGCCAAATCTATTAGGAGTCTCTGCATGCTGACAGTTCGACGAAATGCAATTCCTATTTTTTATCAAATTCACATTATGTTTTTCGATGAAAAATATAGTGAGTGTAAGTTCTAAGTCTAGATTTTGCAGCTCTTGTCTCAGAGAAACCAAAAAATAGTTTAGTTTCTTTTCACTTTTGCCCAGATAGAAATTTATATTCAACATGTCAAAGATAATGATGTTAATATCAGTATTTGTTAGCTTATCAAGATATATAGTAGTGTGTTGAGATCTACCGTAGATGTAATGAATATGTACAACAGATTTGTCAGTTAAATCAATCGTTACATTATACGAAAACAATCTTCAAGTAATTAGTCCCAAAATGTTCTTTTTGATTTTACCGAAAATATGAAATCAAGTCGATTCGCCGTGATATTCTATTGAGAGAAGACAATGTAATAGTTAGATGATAAAATCATTTCTTTATTAATTAGGTTCTTTTTCCTAGGAAAAAACTGATTTTAAATGTTTGATGTATTTTCTTTAATAGAGTCAACATTCTTCGATACATCATCAACATCTAGAACTAATCCTCGTGTATCAAATCAAACAACTAAAAAAACATCTTCAAATATAACAACTCGTTCAACATCTTCATCAGCTCCAATAAAAACTCCTAAACCAATAATATCTATAGGTACAACAACAACAACATGGGTCAATTCTAATCGAACTAATCGTGCTATATCATCTTCATCAACAAATAATTCAACAACAATAAATTTACCAAACTGGACTCATCCAAAAACTTCTTCATCACATAATAAAACATCTCATTCAAATCATTATCCATACACAAATTCAATGAATCATCATAGAAATTATTCAAATAATCCTCAACCAACATTCTCAGATATAAATCCAACATCACCAAGTAAATCAAATGTTTCAACTTCATACCAAATGCCACCACCAACATCATCATCCTCACTACTGGTTGCTGCATCATCCTCCACACCTCCACCACCACCATCTACTACAACAACAACTACAGGAGAATATAATCCATTTGCTTCAAATATTTTAACAACATCTATTGTTGATGTTCTTACTAAAACAAAAGAACCAACAAATCAATCAGGAATAATTAATGATGAGTCAATAACAAAAATGAATTTTGCTAATGTTGCTAAGATGAATGTACCTAATAAACAATCTCATCAAGAATCAATTCTTCTAACAATGAATGAATCAACATCTTCATCTTTACAATCAGATCCAAAAATAGCTCCTGGTTATCGTGGTTTATCATCATCATCATCAACAACAACAACATCAATTATAATTCCACCAACAAATTTTGATTCATTATCACCAACATCACAAATAAATCGTGCACCTGGTTCAAATCGTATTCATCAATCAATTTCACCTTCATTAACAAAAATTCCGCTGGATCAAAATGGACAAACAGGTTCCTCAACAACATCATCAACATCATCATCTCCATCATCATTGAAACAACAAACAAGTCATTTTATTCAATCCCAATCATTATTTTCAACATTGGATCAACAAAAACCTTTTGGGCCTATTGGTTCACATCGTACAACAATATCAACAGATGAAATTCCTCTTCAAATGCCACAAAAATTTTCACCTAATCCTCCTCCTCCTTCTGCTTCCATCTATCAACAAACATTACTTAATAATCCATCATATTCAAATCGATCAAGTCTTAATCCAAGTGCACCAGAATTTCAAGGACCATTATCATCAAATATAATGAATATAGCTCGTCTAATGGAACAACAACAAAAACAGCAACAACAACAACAGCAAATTTACTCAAATATTCCTCCAACACGTTCATGTCAACAATCAGATATTGAAGCAATTCAACATGTACAAAATCAAGTTGTACATTTTTATCATTTACAAACAAATCAACAACAACACCTTGCTCAACAACCACTTCCACCACCACCACAATTACCAACAACATTACAAATAGCAAATATATTAGCATCTAGAGGACAATTACCACAAGATACAAATCAAGCAGCAGCACTTGTTGCAAGTTATTATTATACTAATTTTCTATCAAGAACACAACCGACGAACAATAATATTTCTTTATCACCGAATGTAAATACAAACAGTGATGATATACCATTAACTTCAGGTAAAATTTCTCTAATAGTTCTTTTTCTTTAATACAAAAAAAAATTTCTATTTAAATTTTAGTTGATCCGACTGTTATCATTTCTAATAGTAATCATTCAACCGGTCCTTCATTATCGTCTACAAGTACCGGTAATGACCACAAAATGGTACCAGCCGCGATCGGTAGTGAACGTAAACGTCATATGCCAACATCAACCACTGTTGTTCCTCCGATGATCATCAGTGATTGGTCTTCCGTATCTAAACGTAAATTCTATCGAATTCTGTCTTTATTCAAACTTGATTTTTCATTTTCTAGAACCATATCCTTATCCACAACAACAACAACAACAACAACAACAACAGCAGCAGCAGCAGCAGCAGACACGCGATTATCCGCGATAGAAAAACAAAATAAAATTTTATACACTTTTCATTGCTTTCTAAATACATGAGTTTCTTTCTTTTTCTCTCTTCTCTAACCGATCGTTTATATTTTACCTAATTTTACTTGTTCTTCATACATTTTTCTTTTTTTGTTTGCCGATTATTGCGCAATAAGTTCGTGCATTAGCATGATTAACTTGTTGTGACATTCAGATCTCTTCATGTATTGAAGACGATATAGCAGCAACTTTCTTTTTCTCGCGTTTTTTTTTGTGTCATCCTTTTTTTTCTCGTTCGTTTCTTTTTCTTTGCGATATACATATTATATACATATAAAGGGAAAAAAGCTGAAAAAAAGAATTTTTTATTAATCATATTTTACTCTGTACGAGACATATTTCCATGTATGTATCATGAAACAAAAAAAGAAAATTACTGAGCAATGAGCGTAATATAATTGATATGTGATGGAATATTTCTATGAAGAGATTGAAAGAATATGAATACAATTTATCTGAATGTATAATAGACAAGAAATATTTATCAATCGAATCTATATTTAACAATCAATTTTAAGTGTAGGATTTTTTTTTATAAACATAAAATAATTCTCAATTATTTCGTCTTCTTTTTTTTTGTTATATCGACTGCTAATATACGTAGTGAACGTGTTTTTATCAATAAAATCCAACTCTTAAGATTGTGTGACATTTCATACCTTTTCTCGCGCTTCCGTGACGACTAGCGTTGGGTAATCGAATTGAGATCTTTATTTCTCAGCAATGGATAGGTGTTGAAAATTGAAAATAATACCATATATATAACTTTAGTAGTACTATCTGTTGCTGTAATTAAAATCGAAATTGTGGAAAGTCGTTGAACAACGTATATTGGATTCGGTCGTGATTCTCGTGCAATGACTTCTAGAAATAATATCTATTTAATCTAATTAATTGAATTTTTCAACTTACAAACTTGTCCATTATAACAATCCCCAAGAAGTTGTTGTGTATCTTTTGGATTAAAATCAATACAAAGAAGTGGTGATATTGGTTTTAAATTAAGTTCAGGTTTTGTTACATTTTCTATTTTGAATTAATAATTTTGAGGAAAAAAGTGATTTTTATTTACAAATATTCCAAATGTATGAATTGATAATTGAATCATTTGTACCTAATTGAAATTCATTTGAAACATCTCGAATTTTTTCAATTGATGAACAAACAAGACTAACTGATAAACCATTATCAATCGCACCACCGACAACATTTGATAAGAACGGGTAGCAATTAGAAAGTTTAGAAAACCGGTATCAGACATATGAATTTTTTCGATGTCAATTTGAAGTATTTCAAGATTTGACGGAACAAAGAAATTATAGTTTTACGGAAAAAGAATTATATGATACAGCATCAAAATGATTTTCACCATCATTTCAACTAGATCATTTTTTATGACAGTAAGTTCTTTTTTAATTTCAATGCAAGAAATAGAAGATTTGTAGTTATTTGATTAAAACATTTATTACTTAAAATCAACGACGTGCAGAATATCGTCAAGTTCATCTTTTAACAAAGTAGAATTTCTAATCAGATCATCACAGAGAACACATCAAGATTGCTGATTGATTTCAAAGCAGCAAAAAGTTACATAGATGCTTTCACTAATGTATTTAGAGACAGACTTTTATTGGAAAATGATAGATTCCATAAACGACTTTGATTCGTTTAGTTTTTTCGTTTCTATTGATATCTGCTACGGCCTCGATGAATATTCAGATTTCTATATATTCGTTTATCCAGCGACACAACAGAAACCGCAAGAGAAAAAAATAATAATGCCCATTTTCTCTTTGTTCAAGGATGGTTAACGACCTGGATATCGATGTATATAAGTGGGGTAATGTATAATGAAATAACCACATAGGCAAATGTACAATTGCACGATCTTTCTATCTTGTTTTCTATTCTAGATTCAAATCGAACATTTTTATTTGGTTAATCGATCGATTAAAATGCCTTTAACACCAATCGATTAACATCAAGAACAACCATCATCTTCAAATTTACAATTTCGTGGACAATCATAAGAAGCACGACTTCATCTTTACAACAATTTAACCAAGAAAAAGGTAATCGAAAAAAATAATTTATTTATTGAATCTATTCAATTGTTTTTCAGGAATTGTTTGTACCAATAAATGGTAACGAAGTTCGATGATACAGTTGTGGACCACCCAGGTCCACCGTTACGGACTCCGTAAACGATCGTTTACGGTCGTATACGACTGTATACGTGCCATATANTTATCTAAACTATAACTATAACTTGAATAGAGGCTGTTCCGTTAGAGTACTCGAAAAGCCAAAGATAATGTTTCTAACATACTTAAAGTTTTTCTCCGACAATTTCTTTAGCCTATCGATTGATACTTGCAAGTCTCCATATAGCTTCTTTGTTCAAGAAAAGAGGAAGGCTCAATTTGTACTTTTGTAGAACCTCTTTTGGTCACGTAAACAACCCTACATGTTCGTATCGTACCGTGGGAGTGTGTAGCACCCCCGAAGAGCCGCGATCCATGTTCCTGTCAGCGTGCACAGTTGTACAAACGTTTCATTTGGGATCTTCAGAAACTTAGCAAAGTAGGATAGCTTGTATCCATACATGTAAATCTTGAAGATCTATTAAGAGTTTTACAGTTCTTTTAGTTTTCAAATATTCATCACAAGCGCCTTTTGAGGAGATCCAGGCTGAATCTTGACACTACTCTAGTATATCTGAAGGGGATCCTGGAAAATCTGTACAGGATTTTTGCCAATATCTACCTGGATACTTCCTGAATCTGCAGAAAATCCTGTATGTTCCCTAGGAATTCAGGAGGGTGTCTAGGAAGTGTTGGCACACCTATTCAGAATGCTGCAGGCTGTCAATGAAATCTTTGACCATGTCTAGTGAACACTGCCCGCTGTTTAAGAAATCCTGGAATATGTTTACGGAATATCGCAGGTTGTCTAGAAAATCCTACTGAATGTTTAGGAGATCTTTCAGAATGCCAAGGGAATCCTGTGGGATGTCTAGTAAATTCTGAGCGTTGTTTGGGGAACTTTGCAATATTTCTAGGTTATATTGCACTATGTTTAGGAAATGTTGAAGCATGTCTATGAAATGTTATCCAATGTTAATGGAGTCCTGCAGGATGATTAGGGAAATCTGCGAGATTTCTGTCGAATCCTGATGATGTCTTGGTCACATGATGTCTTATGCGAATTTCCAAGGAATTGAATGACTCTTAGAAAATTAAGTGATTTTTCGAAATAACAACTTTTGAAAAGTGTTTGAGTTTCCTGTAAAGAATTGACTTTGGAAGCTGAAATAGCCTGTATGAGTCGAGATATGTAAAATTGGCATCACTACCAAAGAGAGTGCCAAACCATACGTACACACGCAACACACGCAGACATAACATTGCATTTGGTGTGGGTGTCGAGAAGCGAATAGTTGCCAACTCGAATATATGTTTGAATCTTGTAATGGATTCACGCCTTATACATCACTAATTCTCAAAGAATAGACCTTATTCGGCTTAGACTTTTAATTCCGATAAAATTTTATCTTTTGATATTTTGTCATAGTTATTCGACGCCCTTGTTCGAAATCATAAATAATAATTCAAATAAGACCTTATATTTTGCTTTTGCCAAACAGTGTTGGTGTGATTTCGAAGTTTTCGTTTATATTCGAACTTGAATTAGGCAGATATTAGGATTTCAATCAGAAAAGTTTTTAGAATTGAGTGTCGAAAGGTATCAAGACATTGTTTGAAAAAATTCTGAATGTAATTTCCCGCGTGAGTATATTAAGTGCTATTCCTTCTGAAAACTTGACACATTTTGGATAAAATCAATATAATTCTGGTACATTTTCCAAAGAATCACCCAAAACGATAATTTTTAAGATATATATTTCAATTTGATAGGCACTCAAAGTGTATTTATCATTTATGTCGACATGTTTATTGGAATTCATTGAAATCACTGTTTTAAGCTATTGCTAACATGGACATTATTGTAACTGTAACAAAAGAGAATCATAATTTTCAACAGCCACTCTTTATGGTTTTGTGAAATTTCGATTGTTGATTTTTTACAATTTGTCAAATAGTCCGTCGAACTTTTGACAAATCTTTTCTTCGTCGAAAGTGTGACGAAAATTTGACAATCAATTAATATTTAGATATCGAAGTTCCGATTCACTGCCCTCATCCTAATTTCTTCAGTTTGACGATAGAATGAAGACCAAATTTATAGAGAAATTTTCAAAAAAAATCAAGAATAGTCCTACAAGGTCACACCGGTATTCGAAAACATACCTTCTTTGTATTAGCGAAAGTAAAAAAGCTATACACTTCATTTATATCTTTTTTTTCTCAGACAAGTGTAAAAGATATCGTAATCAAAATTCAGTTAATGTTATTCTTTTGAATGTGTGTATTTGACTTTTAGTTGGCAAACGTCATCCTATACGACAACTTTATTAAGACGAACATTACAGGAATGAAAACTGTGTTATTTATATTGGTCGTTTTTTTATCATAAACGTGGTAAGAAAAAAAAGGCAAACAAAGGAAGTCATATTTCTATTTACAGATGTTTAATATTTTTCTTTTCATTCCTGATCTGTTTTATGAGTAATATTTCGTTCGTTTAATGTTATAACATCAGCATCAGTATAAACTTGCCGATAGAATCTTGAACGCATTCGTTTTAATCTTCCATCTATTAATTTAAGTACTGTCAATAAACTTAAAATAAATATAATTAAAATAAAGAATGCTTTAAAAACTGATGGATGTGATGATAAATAAAACCTTTGATTTTCATTATTTTCACCTTCACATTGTAAATCAAATAATGATGCTTGACAATCAATACGTAATAGTTTTTGTAATGGTTCATAAAAATCTAGCAATGGTGGTGGAGGTGTTTGTAACCAATATATAAATGGTTCTAATGTACAGTCACATTTGAGATGATTATTTAAATAAAAATCCATTGATAGTAAATGATAATAGTCATTTAAACGAGCACCATAATCAATTTGTTCAATTGACATATTGCGTAAAGAAAGATGTGTTAAATATTGATGCCAAGGATAAAATATATTCCAATTAAGTGTACGATGTTGTTTTAATAAACGATTATTATTAAGTATTAATGTATGAATCTTTGATAGATTATGAAGATAAATAAGATATTCAAATGAATCAAAGTGAATTGATGTTAAATCAAGATATTGTAATGCTGGTAAATCAATATTAAATGTTGTTTCATTTAATGATAATTTTGAATTATTAGTTAATAAAAGTGTATATGTTGTTTGACCGCGTAATTCAGCTGATTCAAGTGTATTGTGTGATAAATCAATTGTATGTGGGGATTCATTATCCCAATTAATTTTAATAAATTCCATATCATTTGATGACATATTTAATACATTCATTAAAGATAGATCATACATACCACGACGATAGTGAATTTCCTTAATATCAATAATTTTTAAACGATTATAACTAACGTCTAATGTATTAAATGTTAAATATTTAAGAAAACCAAGTGTTTCTAGAAGACTATAACTCATGTCAATTACATCAATGTGTAAAAATTTCAATTTTGTATTATGAAAATTGATGGAGAAATCATTTAATGCTGTATGTGATATAATTAAACGTTGTAAATGAGTATAATTCGACATAAGACGTAAAATAACTTGATTTAAATAAATATTATCACTGAAATCAATATATGATAAATGATCATAAACATTTAAATAAATATAATCAATATCATAATTAGATTTAGCTTGAATACTTTCAAGATTTGTACTAAATAAAAGATCATTTGTTGTTATTGAATCAACTAAATTTTGATCATTTAATATTAAATTTTTAATACATTTTATATATGGATTAAATAATTTTATTGAATGTATATTCGATTGTGTTAAATCAATTGTTAATTTATTATTATTATTTAATTGTGAACAATTAGAAATAAATTTTTCATATTCCCATGTTGGAATACTTCGACATTTTTGACAAATAAATGTTTGTAAATATGGTAATAATGTTATAGTAAATAATTGTTTAATTAATGTTGATGATAAATCAAGTGTAATAAGAGATTGAAATTTATTAAATTGATTTATAATTGATTCTAATGGATTATAAGATAAAATTAATGTTTCAAGTGTATTTAAACTATTTCCAGTTAAATTATCGAGTGATTTAAGTTGATTATGTGATAAATTAAGATGATTAAGTTTAGGATAAAATTCATGATCAAATGCAAGTTTATGTTCATGAGTTAATTGATTATACGATAGATCAAGTTTAGTTAATTGAGGAAAATATGAAGCATTTAATTGAGACCATTGCATACCACCATGTTGATCATGAATAGTAAGTGTTAAAAGAAGACGAAAAAATATTCCACCCTCAAATATGAAATTTGTTTCAATAGCAGAGGAAGAAAATGTATTATTAGTTAATGTTAAATTTTCAATATTTGTACCGACTTGAACTAATAAATCACGTAATGATAATTGAAAATATGAATCACGAATTTCAACATGATGATGTTGAAGTGTATAAGCTAAATCATTGAATAATGGTATTGGATGAGTAAATGTGGTATTCCAACAAAAAAGTAATGCTGTTCGATCATAGATACACTGTCGAGGTATTTCATTCCAAAACGAGCATTCTGTTTCTTTTAACAATACCACAACGAAAAAGATAAAAATTTGTTTATTTGCATACATTATATTACACTAGACACATGCATCGAAGAAAAAAATCGACAGAATATAGTAATAAAGAGCAGCCCAACATTTTTTCCTCCCTCTTTTTCTGTTCTTCCACTCGTTTCTCTTTTTTTTCTAAGGTTCTTTTTATGACAACGAAATAAAAAAATAAAATAAAAGAGAAACAAAACCAATACGTATATACAAGAAAAAGCTCTTTCTCTATGCAATGAATAAACGAATGTCAACATAATGCAGTGCTATGCTGCTCAAGGCTGTTTTGTATTCTTTTTCACGTTACTTCTCGTTCTTGTTTCAATAGCAAAAAAAGCGAGTAAATTATTGGACATTACAAGTGACGAGAACAACGTATTATCACCATAAAATAATAAAATAGAAAGGTTTCATTTTAAAAATAGTACACATGTTAATATTGCTATATATACATATATCAATATTAACTTGACAACCGCATCAAGACAAAAGAAAGGTCAAATATAAGAGATGGTCGATGTCTTTTTTCATATCATTAATTGCATGATTGTAAAGAAAAAATTGATTCGAAGAAAATCCTTTTTGTTAATATCTTAGTATTATATGCATTAGAAACGAAGAAATTTCTCATTATTATTTTTCGGATAAAATAATATTCATAACATGCAAAGAAAAAACAATCGCAGTATAAATAAGATTTGACGTAAACAAATATGCTTCATTTATATTATAAAGAAATTCATGGCAGAATCTCTGGAGCATTTCCGTCGTCCAACATCAGCTTCTACAGTTGCAACAAACTGGTCTAAAGGTACTTCAACATCAATTGGACATAATGTTTCTCATCGACATATGCCCATTATCAAGGGTGATGTAAATTTCGTGAATACAAGTAATACTGCAGAAGCAACTGATGATGATGGTGTTCCATCACATTATATAAAAGAAATACTTGATCGACTCTCTAAATTACCAATCGATTCAATCGATCATGAAGATGCACTTGAATTCATCTATGATCTATTCTATATGCATTCACCCTTGAATCAAGATGATTCACGTATAGCACGTGTATTTATAGAATGTGATTATTGTTCTATAGTTCATCGTTGTTTAATTGAATTTATGAAAGCTGGTATATTTAGTTCTACGTCAATAAGACGTTCAACACAATTTGTTCTTTATACATTATGGAACTTTACTGGTATAAGCATGGAATTTCGTGTTTATTTATCAAATAATGACAATTTTGTTAAATTTTTATTATTAAATTGTTTAGAATATTTAAAAAATTTAAAAACTGAAACAAAGTTAGCATCAATTACAGATAATTTAATTCAATCAATAATAAGTATAATACATAATTTAACAATAAATACAAATAATTTAAATATCGACCAAACATTTCATATAATTAATCAACTTCTTTTTGAACAAAAACAAATTAAAACAACGGAACGTTTTCGTGTAACATTACTTCTTTGTTTAATTAATCTTAATGGTAAACAAGTTTATGAAAGTTTAACAATATATCAATCAACATTTAAATTACTGTTTTATTTCCTAAAAAGAATTGTACAACATGAAATTCTTATGATAAGTACAGGTTTATCAGCATGGGTTATAGCATATGCTATTAATAAAATGCCAATTGATATTGTACTTACAGATGATAATCGTCTTTATTCATTCATGATTTTATTTAAACGTGGAATGCGAGAAGAAAAATTACAAGCTGGTTTTACATTAAATCGTTGTATTCAAAAATCTACACATGCAAAAGAAATTATAGAAAAAGATGCAACATGTTGGAATTTATTTCAACAATTTAAAGTTTTTCTTCATGAAGAACAAAATATCTAACTAATTATCGCTATACAATGATGAACTATAATTATCATTATCGGATATAGTACTTAACGGATGATGTACATGATTATAAATCATGTCATTTGATGTTGTTGTTCGAATATCACTTGTACTACTATTATAACTATTTGATCTAAAACGAGGATTTTCTCTATTAGGCAACAATGCTGATCCAGATAAATTTTCTTCATCTTCATAAGCAAGAAAACTAAGTCGTTGGTCAGGATTAAAAAGAAAAAGTAGATCACCATTTTGTACACCATATGAAGCTAATGTTCGTTGAGCTCTTAAACGTTTATCACCAAATTCTAGTACAAGTTGATTTGTCATTGATGACAATTGTTCACGTTCAGCTATACGTTGTATAAGTGTTTGACATGTATCTCGAATATAATTACCCACGGGCATTTCAATTGTTAAACGTTTTACTTGAGAATTCGTTGGAGTTATTTTACGTACAGCTACATAAAATTGAATTAATTTACCTCTAAAACAAAATTGAAAAATTAAAATAAAGTTCTAAGAATAATAATCATGAAATCATATACTTCGACATTTTTGATTGTTTAGAACATTCATCTTGATTATTTGAATCTAAATAGCAGAGACATTTTTTCTCACTTCTATTTTCATTTCACTTCATACCGTATCGATGTGCTCGTAAACATCTATCGCATACCATGAAATTACAATGACGACATAGACGTAAGGGTGCAAATGTTTCACATGTTGTACATTTAGCAGTAGCTCCGGTATTCAATGAAAGATTGCCTGATGTTGTTAATCTTGAAGCTGTTGACATAGCTTGCTCATCAAGAAGGTTACGAACAACAAAATTAGGTGGAAAAATACCATCTTCAGGAACTAAATGTTGTTTTCGACATTCTGGACAACTTAAATCGAAAGGAAAAAAAAGATGATTACATTGCTTGTTTTTTTAGTTCATTTAGACATCTTACGTTACAACATCATTGTTATTTTGCATTAAACGATTAAGGCATTCATCACAATAAGTATGACCACAAGGAAGAAGACGAGGTTCAGTATATGGTGTCAAACAAACAGGACATTGAAGTAATTCCTGTAAACGTTGACTACGTTGTGATGATGGTCTAAAAACCAAAGTTAACTGTGTACGTGTCAAGTTTTAAGATTCTTTTTTAAAATTAAAACAAGGCTATTTCTATATTAATCCAAAATTAATCTTTTAATTCTATAAAATGTCAAGGAATTTTGTGGGTTAGTTCTATTTCTATCAATATTGAATTATGTGATGAAAGTAAATTTGAAACGTGCCTTTATCGGAATATGAAAATCCTACTACCTTCTTCGACGACTTGATGGTCGTCGTTTAAAATTAGTTGGAACAGCAATTCGAGCTGGTCTTTCACGTTCAGTAATTGGTGCTGGTACAACTATTGGTCGTCGATTTACACCAAATGGTCCATTTAATGCGTGTGCTCTACCTGTAGCACATCTTCTAGGAATTTCTGGTACTATTGGTGTTTTCATTGAATGTACTGCTCCTCGACGACCTTTTCGACCACGATTTAACATCGATGGAGGTGGCGGTGGTCTTCGTCGTTTTATGGGTTTTATGGGAACATCTGGAATATCTGGTGGACCAATAACATTGTCATCAGGAGGTGCATCACCAAATAATTGATCAATTGTTGTATCCCATTGTGGAGCATTAGGTGATGATGGCATTTCAGGATCATTTTCAGCATTGTCAGTTTTATTACCAGCGAAACCTAATGATCGAGTAAATTTCGATACTGCTTTGCCCATCGTTTAATAATGCACAAAAAATAACTTATGACCGGAAGAAGGAAACTACATATACATGAAAATATGCGTCCTTCTTTGCATCGTCGTCATGCATCAGTAATTGATGATAGAGTGTAGGAGCAAAAAAAAAGAACGCGTGAATGAATGAATAAATGAATGAATGTTATTCGTTGTCGTTCTCGCCATCGTACTGATGTAAAATAAAAGAGTAGGTCTTTATCATATGTTAAGCTCTTTTCTTTTTCTTTTCTTTTTCTTAAGAATAAAGATTGCATCATGTATCAAATAGAAAACGAAAAGAATTGAATATCAAATCCTTAATCTCTTTTTCATCTACAGATCATTCAATAAAAGACTGGTATTAAACTTCACACTCACACAGTACAATATAATTTTATTTTGTTTTTTTCGATGATGTTGAGAGAAAAAAAAAAGACAAGAAGAAAAGAAGAAGAAAAAAGAACCGTAAACGACGCAGCAAAAGTAAAGAGAAAAGTAAAAATAAAAATTAAAGAACATGAAGAAGCAAAGGAAGACAAGTCAGTTAATTCAACACCGGGATTAAAATAATATATATTGTTGTTATTTGTTTTGTTCGGTTTGTATTCTTTTAACTCATGTCCATTGCTTCAGCATTGTTATTTGTATTAAAACTAAATCCTGATGATGATTGTTGTTGTTCATGAATAACTGTATTATATAAATCTTGATATTCTTTTGAACTTTTTACAATTGCTTCAAATTCATTAATACATGCTATTTTATTAGCATCTTTTATTTGTTGTAATGCAAGAAAGACTTTAATTGCTGCGCGACGTAATTCATCATGTTTTTCAAATTCTTGTTTTATACTATTGGCTTTAACTTTTAATTGTAAAATTGCTTTTAATGGTAGAACAAGACGATCAAGTCGTTGTAATACAATTGTGGGACAAAGTATTGATAAACGCACGACCATAAGAAATGTTAACATACGTATATCATAATGATCTTGTTTAAGACCATCTTCAACATATGTTAGATAATCGAACATATCAAGTTTATCAAGACATGCTAAACAAAATAAATTATGTTAACTTAGAAAGTAAAAATTTTAATTGTTTTTATTCTATATAGATATAATTGAATATTGAATATAAGATGCTGTATTAAAATTAAAGATAAATATTTTAGATTTATTCTTGTTCAGTTAGAGTCTATCTGTGCTCATCAATGCGTATTGGAGAATATATCGGAAAATTATTTAGTTGTATTGTTTTTTTATTTAAGTATAGAGTTCATTACGTTTTAGAATGAAAACTGATTCTATTAATTAAGATTAGATTTTTATATGAATTTTTTTTGTCTGTTAAATAAATTGATTTCTCTTTTGTTTTCTTCGAATGTATGCGAGAAAAAAAAGTATCTGGCTTTTCATGTACGTTGATAGTTGGGAAAATTTTTTGTTTTAGCTGTAGATTCTCTGTACCTGTAATACAGAAGAGAGAAAATGAAACTTTCTAGAATTTATTAAATTCCGACAGCGAGATAATCTTGAATACGAATCGAACAGGATCAAATAGACAAAGATTTATTTCCTACACATGAAAGCGACTATAAGTTTTCTCTGTTAATAATGAAAATACCTTTTTCTTTCTTTCAAATGATATTGTTTGTTTGCACTAGAATTTTCTTAGGAGTATGATGTGCAAAAATTTTGAATACTATCTTATTTGTTAGTCTTACAAGAAGAATATAGAATTAAAAAAGAATCATCAACATGTCTAATCTTACTAATGCTGGTATCCTCTTTCAATGTACTCTAACCTTTTCAAAACAATCTTATGTATATATATATATATGCACAAAATTATTTGTTACCAGCGTGATGTCGCAAAATTAAAACACGTATACTTCGGGATAATGAACTTTCTTAGAGTTAATTTTTATATGTTACATTACTTTAGATACTCTGAAAAATAGTTAGTCCTGTAGACCACTCCTGAGGCTACAAAATTTCTATTCAAAGCTTTTTTTTTGAGCACGTCTAAATTTTTCAAAATAATCGATTTCATTAGCGACATAGCGGAGTACGAAAAAAATGCTCTTTCAAGCTAATGAGAATTTCAAAAACAATTCCAAATGGTACAAATCTTTCTTCAAAATTTCTAGAAAATCAATTGTATGAGAAATTTTTCATTTGGAGCTCGATCTTGCTGAAAACTTCACCATATATGCAAGTCGTGCCGTAGAGTCTATCCGCTAATTACTTATTAATTAATAATCCGTTAAAAAGAGCCAATATTTAAAAATATGTCTAAGCTAAAAGAACTTATTCAAAAAAATTAATTTTGTAAAAAAAATCGAAGTCAAATGAAAGATGGGTACATCCTGTTTTGCCTGAAATGACTGATATGTCCTCCATAATTAAACTTTAATGAATTATAAAATTTAATGCTATTTATGAGCATCAATGAACAAATACTAGTTTGAAAAAAAAATCTGGATAATCTTAGATTTTTTTCTTTTAGTTGCATACGTACTGTCTAATAACGTGTACATGCATTCATACGCTGCTTTACGAAGATCAAGACCATCTATAAAAAAAGAAACATATTTGTATTATTACTTACAAAAAAAATAACGTTTTTAAAAATCTTACCATCGACAGTATGTTTAAATGGACCCATTTCAACTTCTCGAATAAGTTCTGGTCGTACACGAGTTTCATTATAAAGTTTAGGTAAAAGTTCTTTAAGTAAATCACGTATTAAGATTGGTTTATTATGTGCAGCTAATATGCAAAAAATAAAATCAAAATAAATTGAAAATCAAAATTCTACATACCAGAATTAAACATAACAAGTGCAACACGTCGAACATCAATATCTTTATCTTCAAGACCATTCAAAAAGTCTTTAATATAACTTTTTAAAATTGTATCAATATGTTGTGGTTGATCGACAATTGTAAATTTAATTGCTGTTATTATCGTTGAACGTACATATGGTGATGATGATTGTTGTTTTTCTGTATGACTCATAAATGTTTCACGTAAAATAGGTAATAATTTTTCAGGTTTTAATAATGTTAATTTTCCTAAACACTCAGCAACAACATTTCTTGTACCTTCTTCAGGACATTCACAATGTGCAAATAATGTACGCCATATTGAATCAATATGTTCATCAAGTTGTGGTAAATTTTCATGACTTTGATATGCTATTATTTCACGTAATGAATGTAATAAAAGATATTGACGTTTTGTTTGACTACGCGCTATTTCATTTAATAAAAATGGAATGTGTGAATTTAAATTTCGAATACCAATATAACCAAGTGTATATGATGCAGCTGTACGTAAATCATCAGATGGAGAAGAAAATATATCAAGTAAGATTTGTTGAAGATGTGATGATGATTGAGCTAGATCAGTATATTTACCTAAACAAAAAATTGATTTTTTTTTTCTAAAGATAAATTTAGATTTATTATTTGTTTGAGTTTTGAGAAAGATAAAAAATATCGAAGTGAAAAATAATCGAAAAATAGTTCTAACTATCGTTTTTCTTTATCTGCCAGGTAGAGTTTTCGATTGTTTTTAGGAGTGGGAGGAACTAAAATTTCTTTTCTATCACGATTTTCTATGAGACTATAAAAAAGATAATTTTGCAGAAATTTCGAAATTTTAGGAAAGAAAAGCTCCCATCATTCCCTCTCTAATCAGTAACTGTGCTACCGGTTGACCATGATCATCATTCAAATCTGTAGGACGTTTAGTTGAATATCCATTAAGTGTACATTTCTAATATTTCATAATTATTCCAATTTGAAATTATAGTCATCTGATAGAAGCAACAGTTTTCCTTTTTGTTTTGAGAACTATATTAATGAAATAATTAGCAATAATAACAGATCTATATCTTATGATGAAGATGAAGCAGCTGTGGCTATTATAATAGTTGTATAGTAATTATTGTTTCGACTATTTTAATTATTCTCTATCGTGAAGTATCATTCATCAATGTTTCTATTTGTTACAGATGCAAACTGATAGAATAATGAGAATAGGAATAATGAACTGTAGACGTCTGACATATCATTTTATTTTTTCGATACACTCTGATTTCAACATTAAACCATTTCCTACACTTATCGATACAATTGATTTCATAGTTGTTTTTTTGTTTTGAAAAATAGACTCAATTATACGACTTTCGAAGGACTTCAATTATTCATCATGTTGTAAAAAACGATCCTAATAAAAATATTGTTCTGTTCTCGTGATATTCTTGAAATACAAAACGCCTTACAGGTCATTTTACCCTACAACGAAAAAAAAATAAATATCTTCGCTAATCATGTGACAATTTGGTGAACAAACTCGTATTATTTATAGGTGAAATTTTCCAAATATAATGAGAATATATCTATGATATAAACTTCACACCAAACGACAATAAAACGAAAAATTATGTAAAATTTTTTTTCTACTTAGAAAACAATTATATTGCTTTTTCGTAACTCCTGAATGATTACAGTTCTTTATTGAAGTCTAACGATAATATTTCAAAACAGTGTTTATCAATTTTTTTCTTCGATAAAATGATTTATAATTGATTAAAAATCTAAATTAATCTTACCAGTTTCACCAAGACAAAGTAATGCCAAAATTTTAATTGAATCACTACATTTTGAATCATTTAAATCATCTTGAAATTTCTTAATAAAATAACTACTTTCCTTTAAATTAGCAACAGTTAATGCAGCAAATGATTTTGCAATTGAATAAAAAGCTTGTCTATGAACAACTAATTGTTGTTGTTGTTGTTGTTGTTGTTGTTGATGATGATGATCACTTGTATTTGTTGCGGCTGGGGAAATTGTTGTTGATTTTTGTTGTGAATAAATTGGTTTAATTAATAATTTAACTAATTCTTCATATGATATTGATTTTGTTACAAGTGCACAAAGAAATTCAATAACAGCATCTAATGCTGTACCTTGTAATAGTGGTGATT